ATCATTAAAGAAAATAATACAATAATAAACTTACACATAAATTATGTGATTAACATTATACAATCTTATTTATTGCAACAACTTAAACTGTTATGGCATTTTGAATTGCACAAGAGTCCCTTGCTTTTACAACTGCATTTATTCGTGGAACGCTTTTTTTTGCAATGACAGCGTGTATAGCCTTGCCCTCCACTTTTCGAATTAGCTGCAGCTGCTTCTCTCAGCGATATTTCTTGAGAAGAAATCTTACCTATGGAAAATTTTCTTTACAAATTACGAACTGATTACGGGTATAAAGCTGCTTGAGGGTATCATTTTTGTTTGCTAATTTATAAGTCGAAGTCTTCTATTCTAACAACAACTGGCAACACATTTCGGGCATCTGTACGGCCACGGTCAACATCGGGGACTTGTATTCGTACTGTATCACCAATTTGAGCAGAAGGAAACGGCGAAGAATTTGGCGACAGACTGTCGCCTCTCCATCGACATCGGCTTCTCGGGTGTCGTTTCGACCTCCACCAAAGCTTATCTGTGCTTGTCGACATACACCGGCGATTGTTCGAATGTATAATAATATAACAAAATATTCGGTCTTTCACTGACGTATTTTGTATGTGTCGACATTCACCGGAGAATATCGACATTCTCTAATTTCGGTCTTTCACAGTAACATATACACTTCTGACAAAATCATAGTTTAAGACATTTTAACAAAATGTACATTTTCAATTATTTGCAATCATTTAGTCATTGTAAATTTTCTTTGTAATAATAAAATATATTCTTGAGAGTTTTCTGACAGAGTCCATTAAGAATATGACAGTTTGAAATTAATTCTTTTAATTATTACAATGGCACAAATATGTTCTGTTAAAGGAACAATACAATGTAAAAATATAATCCGTTTCATTATTTAGTTTATGTTTGACAAGAAAATATAATCTGCATCAATATTGGCTTAATTATCTGAAAATTTTAGGGTGTCATCATTGGGTCCAACTTATTTTTGTCACTTAGACCATTGGGCTTCTGCCATAGTAAGGATTGAAGTGGACTGGAACAATGCTAGAATTATAAAGCCCAGATGTAGTACAGTTGATTTGAACCACATAGAAAGACCGTGATATCCGTTTGGATAGGTAAACCCATAAACTATAAAGATCAAATGAGCGTATCTAGTGTGTGGAAGGCATGGTATAAATTACTAAGGAGAAGGCAGTTCTCCAGTAGTAATTTTAACTTGTTGTTTGTCCTATTGTTATTGTATTATTTGCAACTTAAAAAAAATTAGTATAAACTTAAACTGCCAATTAATAAAAATGTTTCAAAAGAATTTTAAATTGTATAATGTACAATGAAAAAATGAGAAAATTCAAGTTTTCATTGGAAGCTTCAACAAAGTCATTTAGCCCAATGACAATCTTTACATTAAGATTGAAAACATTGGCAAACAAATTTATGTTTCACTAAAGTAAAGATTTGTATAATTAATTTATATCCGGGGTTGTGTGAATGAGAAAAAAAAATTGATCATATTTTTAAAAGTATTTTTCTATATTATAACTGCATTAGTGTATAATTTTTATTTCTTAATAATTGAAATATTTGTAATATCACACAATTATTGTTGTATAAATTTCTTACATTATAGATCGACTGGTGGTCAAGTGTGGGTCACGTGCAAACGTTTTCGTAAGTTTTTCATTTTACAAAAATAATAAAATTAAGGGTGGTACTTATTTATATTAACTTCTTGTAGAAGAAATTGGTAAACATGGCAACGTGTGGAACGTCGACACCTCTTCCGAAGGTTATCCCAAAGTTCAGGCTTCGGAAGGTTTCAGAGTTATTAATATCACAAAGGTAGATTCTATTGAAAATTAAATTTAACAGAAATATCATTATTAAGATAATAAGAAACCTGTATTTTGGAAAATCTAATATTTTGGTAGATATTCATGGCAAAAATGTTAAATTTTGGATTATTTAATAGGCTTTAAAAGGACTTCAGATCTATTCTCCTAATTTGAAATCAATTCAGTAAGATTCGTGGGATTATCAAATTACATGAATCTTGACTGACAAAATTATATGTCTGACATTAATTACTTTTGTAAATTGACAATAAAAAGAAATTTTGCTTATAGAAAACTCTTAATTTGATGCATGAAGAACCCAGTTGTGAATCACTGTTTGTGGCACCGGTCCTAGTTTTTTCCGACATTCATAAGAAGAGCGTAAGTTTATTAAATAGTTGAGTTTTTAAAATTGATTATTCCTGTGTAAATCTTAAATCAATAATTTTTAACAGATTATCAGTTTAGATGTTTCCTTAGGTGGTCTGGGAGTCTCTTCTAGTGTAGATAATAAATTGTTTGTTTGGGATACGTCAAATGGCGAAATCAGGGTAAACTATGGACACTTTATTTTACCAATAGACTTTTGCCATAGCCACAGATCACTGTATCTTAATTTTTCTGTAGAGGGTTTTAAATGGCCACGTTTGGGACGTGTACAGTTGTAGATTTTTTCCATCTGGCATTGTTGTTTTGTCTGGCGGAGCCGACATGCAGTTGAAGATTTGGTCCGTGGAAACGGGAGATTGTCCGGTCACACTCAGGGGTCACAAAGCCGGTAATTTACTTTTAAATGCATTGTTATATCTGTAGTATAAGTGATACTGATCTTGTCTACTCGAAACAGCAATTACAGATACGGCCATTGTCGATCGTGGAAGAAATGTCATTTCTGTGTCAAAAGATGGAACGGCTTCACTCTGGGACTGTGGAAAGTCTGCCCATTTAGATTACATTGCCAGATTCGACAATGCCATCAATGGCTGCGATATTTCTTCCGTAAATGTAGATCAGGGACACCCAGACAAACAACCAAGTATGAAACCTTTAATATAAAGTTATCTATAAACATGACTTGTACTTTATGATAAAATTCTAATTTAGGCGAACGTGAGATTGGTACAGAAGGAAAATTATTAGTGTTGGGTTGCGAAGACGGTTCTCTTCACACTGTCGGCATTCATTCGAGGAAACTGGTAATGTCGAGTTTTGATAAAAATCATGGAAAGTCTGCATAAAAATTAAAATTTCAAAACTTTCAGTTACATTCCTACAAATTTGGAACGGCAGTAAATTGCTGTAAATTTATATCGTCGTCTCAAGTCATCTGCGGCACGCAAGACGGTTACATTCATCTTTTCGAGATCCACGATTTAAGGTATGAACTTTGTTTTGTGCTATTTTTTAATCAATTTTGTCAAAGTATATTTATATATTGTATTTTTCAGCGAGCCTTTAGTTACTTGGGAAGAATCACAGTCTCCAGTGTTATGTATTCTTCCGTATCAACAGGGTTTCTTCGCCGGAAGGAGTAAGTAATCTTTAATCTTTTCTATATTTATTTTATGTATAAAATTATAAATTTTTTTGTAGGCGACGGTACTTGCATGTTTTATAGTATTAACAGCGACAATATGGTGCAGCTAACGGGGCCAAACATCGAACCAATCTATGCCATTGCGGTAGACAACATATTCTTGTACACGGCCTGTCGAGATGCAAAAATTAGGAAGTATAAACTACCTGTTGTTTTGATTTAAATATTTAATTTCAGTATATTTTTTGTGTGTAATATATAACTTTTTTAATATTTAAAAATAAAATTTCCATTTCTGCAGTCTCAAGTATTAAAATACTTAAATATTTTTTTATTTGCTAAATTATTCCTCTATGAGAGATTCAAATCCGAAAGTGGGTACATTCAAAAGATAAAACAAAATACTTTGCACTTCAAATTTTTAAGGTTACTATGAACACTTTGGGATTTGAGGCATGGTATTTAATACTTCTATAGAGTCCTATACGGAATTTGATTTAGAATGACAAAATTTCGTTTATATTTTTTTAAAACACCATCATAAAGGCACCAATTAACATAAGCATGCCTATTTATAGTTTATATATATACAGATCTTTGGATCAATGATTATGGCAAACAACCACAAATGCACAATCTTTCTCTAACAATAAAAAAGTTAAATTATGGCCATCTCTATCGCAGTAATAATTTTACCGATTCAAAATATAAATTCTTTAACAATAAGAAAGCATAAATTATAGTTGTTGTTGCTGTTGTTCACCAATGACGGCTTGACTGCACTGGACATGTTCCGAACTTTCTGTCACTTGATCTGAAAATTTACAAAATATTCTTCATGATTGTTTTTGCCAATTCACAAGACATTTATAATGTCGGTTAATTCTTAAGTAACCAAGATTATAAAGGAAATTAACAATTAGGTTTAAATGCATGCAAAAACTTCCTTTCAGTATTCAGCCAATAAGAGAAGAACTTTTATGTAATATAATCAAGCTCATACTATAAGTGTAAAATCACATCACATTGCTTTTCTAGTAACATTTTCTGTTTCTACCAGTTGGTATTTGGTCAGAAATGTATGCAAACAATAAATCTCTGTAATCAAATTCTCATGATATTTTAGTAATTGCTTTACCAATTAAATATAAAATGTAAAAATACAGCACATTCACAAAGATTAAAAAGCCTTTGTCTTTGCTTTCCTTTCCGTCGTTGCACACCACCAATAGTCCGTTAAAATTTACAAAACGTACGGAGACTAACTTCCTTTTTAGGCTACTGCCTCCACAATAAAATATGCAAACATGGTAAAATGTCCTCTGATGTTTCGCCACTATGTTTGCATATTTTATTGTGGAGGCAGTAGCTTAAAAAGGAAGGTCGTCTCCACTCTTTGTAAATTTTAATAGACTATTGGTGGTGTGCAACGACGGAAAGGAAAGCAAAGACAAAGGTTTTTAATCTTTGTGAATGCGCTGTATTTTTATATTTTAAAGAAATGCTTTTTATTCACATAATGCACTAAAAAGTAGAAAATAAAGCTGAAAAAACAGATTTCACATTTGTTTTTCAGCTTTATTTTCTACTTTTTAGTGCATTTATGTGAATAAAAAGCATTTCTTTAACATAAATACTTATATTTTTTGGTTTTATATAAAAATATGTTTAATTGGGAAATGGATGAAAACTGAGTTACAAGGGTTTGTTGCTTTGCATGACAAATTGTGCAATTTATTAAGCTAATGTACAGTGCCATCTGTTATCAGATTGCTTGCAATTAAAATTTTAGCAGTTAGCCAAAAAGTCTAAAAAAATGTATCGTTATTGGAATACAAAGTCTAAACTAGATCAGAAATTGGGAAGTGAGTGAAAATTGAGTGATAAGATTTTATTCCGTCTGCCTGTTTGTGCAGATAAGTTAATAAAAAGTGTATAAAAAAGAATATTACCAATTTGATTGAGTTGATTTTTTATCTGGTTCTGTAACTCTATTCTTTCTGTCTGTAGAGCCCTGCATAACTTTTCTAAAGTAAGTACTCTCTGCTGTGACGTTAACAATTCTTGATCTCGTTTTTGTTTCTAAAAAATAATTTTTATATTTTGAATTTAAAAATAAGAATTTAAATATTTTAAAATATAATATATTACTTCAGCTGCCATCTCAATAAGTGCACGATTACTACTCTCCCATCTGGTTTTCCATTGACCAGTTTCTTTTTGAAGTTTTTTAATCTTTTTTGACATCTGAAAAACAAAAATTTTTAAAATTATAACATTTTCTCTCTTGTAACGTCTTTTATTAAGTAAAAATATTTATCGTCTAAAAAATTTACCGCATCCATGTCGCTCTTAAACGAGCTGAAAACGTCGTTGCTCTTTCGAAGAACTCCCTGAAATTCGTCGTATTTCGAAGTGTACAGACTCAGCTCATTTCGTAGTTTCAATTCCGTCGAAGCTAATTCAGTACTTCTTTTTTGTAGTTCATTAATATTTTCCAACAGTTGGTGTTTCTCTTTCAGAAAATTCTCCCTTTCTTGTTTAAGTTGTAACATTGTTTTGGCTAGTTTTGCTTTAGCTAATTGAGATTCTAGTTCCTTTTGTCTTACAACTTTTCCCATATGCTATTAATAAAATAAAAATTGTTAATCTATTAATTACTTTTAATTACATTATTTTGATAACTTTATATTCAGGATTTGTACATTCTATTTTAGAAAAATTATAAGCTATTTCATTTTAAAAAATTTGTTATTTCTAAGGTTAAATATAAGCTTGAAACATCTGGAAAAGTAATTGATTAAATCTTGTAACTTTTTTTACATCTACCATAGAAGTACTACATAATGGCAATAAAATATTTAATAATAATTGTAATGATTTCCATTGATATTATTGAAAGAATCCAAATGTAAAGTTTTACAAAACTTTACATTTGGATTCCTAAATGCTTATCCAAATTATTTTACAATTCATTTATATTATGATTCAAATTGAAAAACAATTATATAACCTGCAGGAAAGCATTCAACAGACCAGAGATTCTCAACTTTTTTACTCTCACATTAAGAGATGTAAATATTAAATTTATTTGCAATCCTATGAGAAAACACGTGCAAAAAAATTTTCTGCATGTCACCTGGTGTCTCTGTCATATTCCTTTCACAGGTCCTATATACACTGGTCAATGAGCATATGACTGCTCTCCTTGGAAAGTGTCACCTTGTTGGCAGCCTCACTGATTCCGTTCCACCTGTACACGAAGCAGTTTTATCCATTCAGATATTGTATGCAATAGTCTAAAAAATTCATTCTGGATGTTCATTGATATATTGCAATAAATGAAAATATAACAACAAATTTGGTTCAATGCATAAGTTTTTATGTATCTTCATACATTTTACTGTATCTTGTGTAACAAACACATCTGATATTCACAATCATTTGTTGTAAATGATTTCCTGTGCAAAATTGCTTGCTTCCCTAATTGTTTGACTAATGTATTAGTAAATTGAGAACTGGTTAAAAAAGATTAAGATTATTTCAGAAGAAAACAAGAAAATTGGTATAATATATCTTAAAATGTTTACATATTCTTCTAAATATAAAAATTAGTGTGTGTTGTATGATTTTCTATTTAGGAAAACAAAAATACTAAAACTTATAGGATGACAATTTCTTATAAACCACATCTGATGATATTTGTAATTTAAATTTAACTACTGTAAATTATTTTGTGTCTATCTGTTATATACTCTTAACTCTCTTATCCTTTATCTTAACAATTACAAATGATGTAAACATCAATATGTAAAAAGTTTCCTTGGAAAAATAATTTGTATTGATAATATACTATTATTATACAACACAGAAGATCCATTAAATCTGCAATGCAATTAGTGCTGTATAAACATTGATCAGAGGCAATTAAATTGTGAAAATCAGGCAGAAGTAAACATAAATATAAAACATCTATAGCTGCTGTGAATTAAACATACACCAAACTATAAATTATCTTTGCTAATTAGTACATGGAAAATTGGAATACATGAATAATCTTAAAATCTATTCAGTGGTCTTAAAGTAGGAAATGCTTTGACATGTTCACAAATGATAAAAAATCAAGCATTCTGTCAGCAATGAACTCACATTCTTACACTCCGTGTTCAGTTACCTCAAGTTCCAATTGGCACAGTAATTCAGGCTGTGCTGATCTGAATCTAATGATTAGCTTCAGATAAGCACTGAAAATATCAGTCACTAGATTCTAATGGCTGATACTTTCATTGACAGATTGATGAGGTAAAAGTTTAAGCTTATGAAGTCCAAACACTGCTCAATGATCAGATATACGAGTAATTATATGATGCAAATGTGCCCATTAATAAGAAAACGTTCAATATAAATATTCTTTGGTTCATTCCATAGGAGCAAGCACAAAATTATCAAAAGGTCTAGACATCAGATGAGAACTGTGACAACAACTAAGTCTTATACACACAATGACTAAGTTTACAAAATACAAGTGAACAATAAATTTTGCATAATAAACTGATGTTTAAATCTTCACCTGCACACCTCTTGATTTCAGTCATTCATACACATACATTTGGGGTAGATTATTAGTACTTGCACCAAATATTATTTATGTTTAGTTTAATTTAATTAAACTATAACTAGCTAAGAGAGAGAGTTTTTCTTAATACCAACAATGCATCTTTATATTCTCAATTTGAATTAAAAAGCAAGATTTCATTGTTATACAGAATTTGCACGTATGTGACTTATCTCCTTTTTGTAATAACTGATTCGATTAGATTTCGCTATTAAAATCTTAATTAATTAATAATTGAATTTCTACATTTTTGTAGATATTCAACTGAACTATGATTAAAAATATATTTCTTGATTTTTAACTTAAAAAATTTAATATGTTAACTTGTAAATTCCATACCTTTTCCCATAAATCGTAATGATCAACCAGAGATTTTAACTTTTGGGCTAATTCGATATTTTCTTCTTTCAGCTGAGTGCTCTTCTGTTGATTTTCTTGCATCAAAGTCGAAATATCATTGAGAGTAGTCTGAAATTTTCCAACTAATTCTTTTCTTTTTTCTTCCTCCTCCCTAATACGTAGAAGACTCTCTTCCTATAAAATCAAAAAAACACTTTTTAAAATAATAATTCATACTTATAAACTGAATTTAAATGAGAACAATTATAAGCAATTATTATATTTTCAAAAAATTCATAAAGTATTTACCTTGATTGCTTTATTTTGTCTCTGTAATTCTCGGCATAAACTTTCCAGTTTACTCTTTGCCAAAACGGCTCTATTGTGATCGGCTTGAAGTTGTTCTTTTTCTCTAGTCAACTGAATATTATGTCTTTCGGACTGTTTTATTCTACTTTCGAAATTTCGTTGTTCTTCCAAAACTTCTAGATGCTTTTTATACAGGGCTTGAAGTTTCTCTTCTGCCGTGCCATAATTGGCTAAAAATTTCATCAACTGATCTGGAAAAAATTGTTTAAAATATTTTAAGAATTAAACTATTAAATCTAATATCGAGTAAAGACTTCCATACAAAATATTAAAGGAAAATTAACGTATATAATGACCACTATTTATTACAACATACCAATAGTTTTTTCTCCTTTACGTTTACTAGAATTGCAACCTTTAGAAAATTTTTTATGCATTTTGCTTTCTGTTACATCACATGCAGATAATATATTCTAGAATTTAAAATACGCAATTAGAAATTTATATTGTATTGTTACAAAATTTTTCACGTTTCCGTTAAAAACTTAATTTTTACATAAAAAATTTCTCACGTTATTTTTCTGTTCGACATTTTCCGTAACGGTACTCGAAACTTTGTACTCTGCCGACGTTTTCTCGGTAATTTCAATATTAATTTTATCCGAATTTTCTAAATCGTCAGAATTAGATAATTTTTCTTTTTCTCTATTCTCGTTGTTATCATTTTCAATTAAAGGCATGCTTTGTATGCTTCCGCTATTTTCGGAAGGATTTACTTTAGAGATTACTTTCTTAATAGATTCGTCCACACCACTCTTTTGATTGTCAATTTCTTTTGCACTAATGGAAGTGGATTTGAATGTTTGTTCCAATTCTGCAATTTTTTCTTTAATGTTATCGGCTAATTTCAATTGGTTGGCTTCAGACGAAGAATCTTTCGGTACATCTCTAGATTTTAAAACTTCGTTAATAGTATCTTTTAAATGTTGTGCAGTAGCACTGCATAAATTTAAGATATCTAATGGATTATCTTTATTAAAATCTGACTCTGTAGCATCTAATGCGGCAGTGATATCCGCTGTTAAATTAGTTAAATCACTGTCCAGAATAGATGACATATCTGGAAATAAGTCAGTCAAATTTTCAGTAGAAACTTCTTTATTCTCTGCCGAGGATTCACTTTTGGGATTTTCATCCTCATTTTTCACCAATTCATTGCCGTTCTCTTCTTTCTCTTCAGCAATATCGTCTTTTGGTGTATCAGTCATGGTCTCAGCATTTTGAATTTCAACTTTGTTGGAATCATCACCCTTCTGAAAAATACATTTAAAATATTAATGATCAATTGATCTTTTTATTGTAAAGATTTGAAATTAATTTCAAATTAAATAGCATTGATGATAATTTAAAAACTATGTTATCATTATTACAACTTAATACAATGGACGTCAGTACACGAACTTAATTCGTTCCAGAAGATTGTTCAAGTGCCGATTTTTCCCATAAGAAATAAAACAGATTAATCTGTTCCAGATCTGCCAAAAATACACTTATAAAGGCATTTAACCAGAATTTAACAAGCCTAGCATGCATAAATCATAAAAAAAACAAAAATACCCATATGCAATACTGACAAAGTATGCCTATTAATTTTATTTGGTTGAACATAAAATTTTTGAGTACTTTTAAAAACTGTCACTTGTTTACATAGACGTGCGATTTAATTATAATAGTTGTGAAATTTATTGCATTATTGCTGATGTGAAGCTTATTCCTTGTTTAGAAGCTTATTTTAAACTTTATACTTCATATTTTGTTTGAGTAACATCAAGCATATGCTTTCAGTTCGGGAAAGGATATAATGCATGATGTGAAAGGTGCACCTAAACTTCAAACGTGTCAAATGTGGTTTTAAAAGTTCCATCCTGGAAATTTTGAACTAAAGAATACATAACAGAAGGGCATCAAAAACTGTTGAAGAAGAAAAATTGCAGGAAGAAATTGTTGAAAATTGACAAATAACTCTCAACAAATTTTAATATTACAAAAGATAGCTTTAACTTAATTTAAATCTTAACATGCCACAGACATGTATTGTCGAAACACGACGACTTAAAGTAGTTGCAAAACATGACAATTGAGTTCTGTGTGCATTAAGTGAAAAAAAACAAACTGGATTGAGTATAATTTTGTATAATGAAGAGCTGTAACACTGGAGTTTCATTTAAATTAGTTACTCGTTTTTATCATAGAAATTTTTTTATGGATGACAAAAATAAAAATATTTGTTACGAGCAATTATTTATTGTAACATCGTCACAATGCTGGGTTGCAATTTTAATTATTTTAAATTTATTTAATTTAAAATATATGCTTTCCACCTCAAATTAATTGCATCTTGCCCCTGTACATCATACTTTTCCTGCTAGCAATAGTCATGCCACTCAAGGAATACCATCTGACTCTTTTCAAGGAAAAATTTTTGAATTAAAATAATATGACTTCCAGTCCAAACTGGAAGTTCATACCTAGTTAATTGAGGCCTCCAGCCCGTAAGCTTTCCATATTTGGTCTCATCTTTTATCTATCTAACTCCGTTCTTGAAATTAAGGAAAGACAGAGAGACATACGACAGTAAGAATTTATAGGTCTACGATTTTTCCAAATTGCAGTCCAATTAACCAAAAGTTTGTTCTAACAGGTTGTGTTTCTTCAGTTGAGTACTGAGTAATTTTTTCCTCAAATGTGTTCAAATACACAATTCAGTGTTCAGAATAGTTCAAGTGCTAAGTACCACTGTAAATGGATAGATAAATTGATGTAAAAATATATTTGTTAGAACTGTTCAGTAATTTTAAATAAAAACTAATTTAAAACTGATTTGGCTTAATGTTATAATAGTTAAAAGTTATTAGATTAAAAATTAATCAGTATACAATCATATTAATGAATTAAATCAATTCATTTGCATATGCATTGTAAACTCTCTCTCTATACAAATGTAATGGTTAGATTAATGGGATATTTGCCCAAAATTTAATTATTTTAAATGAAAATTCTTATATCTATTAATAGTGTGAGAATCCAGGGTTAATAATTTAATTTGTTAACAAATAAAATTATTTGATAAAAGTTTTACTTGTTTTTGTAAAAATGTACAAAGTTGAAAAAAGAACTTCCTGTTAGGTTAGAGAAAGGTAACACAATTCCTTCAAAACCAATAGTTTAGCGTGGAATTTCTCACGTCCTATCCACAAAACCACCCAACCTCCATCATGCGTCAGAAGAGTGGCGGGCTTATTTTAACTAATTTGATTGGAGGAGATTTCTAATAAAAAAGGGACAGGTCACCCCTAAACATTCTTAGCTCAGCTCAGCTCACAGCTCTCCACCCAGTGTTCTCTCCTAGATGTTCTTGACCTCTCACAAGATAAGTTTAGACTCCCTGTGTTCCAGTTGTAGAAGCCCATGTACCCTCCTCAATCATCAGCTCATCTCATAGATTCTCTTACATAACAGGAAGACAGAATATCACTGAAGGACTAACTATGGAGAGAGAATTTGCAACCTCTCTCTCCATAGAAATGGAAAGGTTAGATTAGTGGGCTGATTATTCAAGTTCCCTTTTATAAGGAATGATATAAAACAATTAGATATTACAATTCAAACATTATATAAATCTTTTCAATTTTATTTTTCCACTTTAAATTGTATACATATTATTTCATCTTATTAATAAAAATATAGTTAATTAATCAACTTATTTAACTGACTGTCATTCACCTAACTCCGTCGTCTTATCCACGATAGAAACAGTCTCTCCTAAAATTCCAGAAGTTAGTTACAAATTTCCATTTGCATCTTAGTCCACATAATCAACTATGTGGTGTTGGGAATCCTGATTTGAGAGATTAAAGCAATCTCTAAAAATACAAACGGTCATCACAAACGTGTGACGGGTCAGCCAGAGCCCCAGAAATTCACAATAGATCAAAATGCATTTTGTAAAACTATAAATCAGAATATAAAGATTCATTGACAATTCTGATTACTGTCCAGATCAGATACAAAAACCCCAACTAGTTTAAATTAAAATATGATTAAAAATTACAGCTAGGCATTTTTTTAAAATTATATTACTATTTTTTATTTTATGACAGAAATGCCAACNTTGAGAGCACTCACTCCAGGGGCAAGGATAGCAGTTAGCTTTCCCTTGCTTTGTTTCAACTGTTGATATATAGCTGCCTTTCAACTTAGTGTTTTAATTCTTATTTCCCATCTAAATTGGCTAGTTTAAGTTAGTCCTAGTTGTAAGTTAGATTAGGGACTCAGCTTGGTTTCCGGTTAGGTTATGATAGGTAAGGTTAAATAGATTAGGGTTGTTAGCTTTGGTCTTCTGGTTAGGTTTGTCCTAGGTTATGGTAGGTTAGTTTAATTAGTGAGTAAGTTGATGTTTAAAAACAAATTGGAATCTTACTCGTTTGTCTCATCTAGTTTGTCGTTGTGTTTATTTGTTTTCACACTGTCTAGCTGTTAATAGTATTAAGATTTGTGCTTGCGTTCAGTTTTATTAATATTAAGTAGATAAGTCTTCTTACTAACAGCCACTTAGCTATTTGTGGCGGCATTCAATTATTGGTGTTCACCTCACTCAGGTTTTTTTAGACCAGTGTTTCTCAACCTCTAATGAATCATCGCCCCCTTCAATAAAACCATTACATAGTATCGCCCTCTTTACTTCAAAATTCTGATGCCGAGGGCAAAGACTAACAAATTCATACTGCATTGAATAGACTAGTATAATGTTATTTGTTTAATTATTGTACGATATAACAAATAAAATGTCTAATTATTCTTAATATGTTTTACTATATCGCCCAGAAAATTGTTTTTTGCCCCAAATATAAATTGTTACTAATCGCCCCCTCAACATGGAAAAACACCCCCATTGAGAAACACTGTTTTAGACCCTTTTGGAGACTAAGGCTTTGCAGCCTAAAAACTGCATGCCAACGTCAAACATAGAGGGTACAGTAGTCATATGTATGCTGTTCAGAGGGATCCTACCTTTCCTACTGTCTAACTCCTCTCCCTTACCCTCTTTTCTGCTGGGTAAACACCTTGTGTACGGCTGATGTCTTTCATGTATGTATGTCTCAACTATTACATAATGGGTGAGACAGAATCATCCAAATTTGGACTGCTACATATCCCTCCAGCTAGCTTCAAATAGAAATAGTTTAATTATAATCACCCCCGTATAATAGAGATGGCTGACGAGACACTTCAAGAGCAATACAGTCGACCCACCTATAACGTACGTTCCAATAACGACAATTCCTATAACGTAGCGAAAAAATTGTAGAAACTGTCGTATAACATACTTCCCATAACGTCGTTTCGCGAGAAGATTGATAGAGTTTGGACCAATAGTGGATGAGCAGCCGAACTACTTACCTCCGACCCTGCGCCACGCTACGGAGCGGTTAAATTGAGTTTGCTATCGTCTGTTTAGTATTATATATAAATTAGGTACTGTATATATAATTATATATTAACTTAATTTATTGTAACNTCCTATGAGAAAACACGTGCAAAAAAATTTTCTGCATGTCACCTGGTGTCTCTGTCATATTCCTTTCACAGGTCCTATATACACTGGTCAATGAGCATATGACTGCTCTCCTTGGAAAGTGTCACCTTGTTGGCAGCCTCACTGATTCCGTTCCACCTGTACACGAAGCAGTTTTATCCATTCAGATATTGTATGCAATAGTCTAAAAAATTCATTCTGGATGTTCATTGATATATTGCAATAAATGAAAATATAACAACAAATTTGGTTCAATGCATAAGTTTTTATGTATCTTCATACATTTTACTGTATCTTGTGTAACAAACACATCTGATATTCACAATCATTTGTTGTAAATGATTTCCTGTGCAAAATTGCTTGCTTCCCTAATTGTTTGACTAATGTATTAGTAAATTGAGAACTGGTTAAAAAAGATTAAGATTATTTCAGAAGAAAACAAGAAAATTGGTATAATATATCTTAAAATGTTTACATATTCTTCTAAATATAAAAATTAGTGTGTGTTGTATGATTTTCTATTTAGGAAAACAAAAATACTAAAACTTATAGGATGACAATTTCTTATAAACCACATCTGATGATATTTGTAATTTAAATTTAACTACTGTAAATTATTTTGTGTCTATCTGTTATATACTCTTAACTCTCTTATCCTTTATCTTAACAATTACAAATGATGTAAACATCAATATGTAAAAAGTTTCCTTGGAAAAATAATTTGTATTGATAATATACTATTATTATACAACACAGAAGATCCATTAAATCTGCAATGCAATTAGTGCTGTATAAACATTGATCAGAGGCAATTAAATTGTGAAAATCAGGCAGAAGTAAACATAAATATAAAACATCTATAGCTGCTGTGAATTAAACATACACCAAACTATAAATTATCTTTGCTAATTAGTACATGGAAAATTGGAATACATGAATAATCTTAAAATCTATTCAGTGGTCTTAAAGTAGGAAATGCTTTGACATGTTCACAAATGATAAAAAATCAAGCATTCTGTCAGCAATGAACTCACATTCTTACACTCCGTGTTCAGTTACCTCAAGTTCCAATTGGCACAGTAATTCAGGCTGTGCTGATCTGAATCTAATGATTAGCTTCAGATAAGCACTGAAAATATCAGTCACTAGATTCTAATGGCTGATACTTTCATTGACAGATTGATGAGGTAAAAGTTTAAGCTTATGAAGTCCAAACACTGCTCAATGATCAGATATACGAGTAATTATATGATGCAAATGTGCCCATTAATAAGAAAACGTTCAATATAAATATTCTTTGGTTCATTCCATAGGAGCAAGCACAAAATTATCAAAAGGTCTAGACATCAGATGAGAACTGTGACAACAACTAAGTCTTATACACACAATGACTAAGTTTACAAAATACAAGTGAACAATAAATTTTGCATAATAAACTGATGTTTAAATCTTCACCTGCACACCTCTTGATTTCAGTCATTCATACACATACATTTGGGGTAGATTATTAGTACTTGCACCAAATATTATTTATGTTTAGTTTAATTTAATTAAACTATAACTAGCTAAGAGAGAGAGTTTTTCTTAATACCAACAATGCATCTTTATATTCTCAATTTGAATTAAAAAGCAAGATTTCATTGTTATACAGAATTTGCACGTATGTGACTTATCTCCTTTTTGTAATAACTGATTCGATTAGATTTCGCTATTAAAATCTTAATTAATTAATAATTGAATTTCTACATTTTTGTAGATATTCAACTGAACTATGATTAAAAATATATTTCTTGATTTTTAACTTAAAAAATTTAATATGTTAACTTGTAAATTCCATACCTTTTCCCATAAATCGTAATGATCAACCAGAGATTTTAACTTTTGGGCTAATTCGATATTTTCTTCTTTCAGCTGAGTGCTCTTCTGTTGATTTTCTTGCATCAAAGTCGAAATATCATTGAGAGTAGTCTGAAATTTTCCAACTAATTCTTTTCTTTTTTCTTCCTCCTCCCTAATACGTAGAAGACTCTCTTCCTATAAAATCAAAAAAACACTTTTTAAAATAATAATTCATACTTATAAACTGAATTTAAATGAGAACAATTATAAGCAATTATTATATTTTCAAAAAATTCATAAAGTATTTACCTTGATTGCTTTATTTTGTCTCTGTAATTCTCGGCATAAACTTTCCAGTTTACTCTTTGCCAAAACGGCTCTATTGTGATCGGCTTGAAGTTGTTCTTTTTCTCTAGTCAACTGAATATTATGTCTTTCGGACTGTTTTATTCTACTTTCGAAATTTCGTTGTTCTTCCAAAACTTCTAGATGCTTTTTATACAGGGCTTGAAGTTTCTCTTCTGCCGTGCCATAATTGGCTAAAAATTTCATCAACTGATCTGGAAAAAATTGTTTAAAATATTTTAAGAATTAAACTATTAAATCTAATATCGAGTAAAGACTTCCATACAAAATATTAAAGGAAAATTAACGTATATAATGACCACTATTTATTACAACATACCAATAGTTTTTTCTCCTTTACGTTTACTAGAATTGCAACCTTTAGAAAATTTTTTATGCATTTTGCTTTCTGTTACATCACATGCAGATAATATATTCTAGAATTTAAAATACGCAATTAGAAATTTATATTGTATTGTTACAAAATTTTTCACGTTTCCGTTAAAAACTTAATTTTTACATAAAAAATTTCTCACGTTATTTTTCTGTTCGACATTTTCCGTAACGGTACTCGAAACTTTGTACTCTGCCGACGTTTTCTCGGTAATTTCAATATTAATTTTATCCGAATTTTCTAAATCGTCAGAATTAGATAATTTTTCTTTTTCTCTATTCTCGTTGTTATCATTTTCAATTAAAGGCATGCTTTGTATGCTTCCGCTATTTTCGGAAGGATTTACTTTAGAGATTACTTTCTTAATAGATTCGTCCACACCACTCTTTTGATTGTCAATTTCTTTTGCACTAATGGAAGTGGATTTGAATGTTTGTTCCAATTCTGCAATTTTTTCTTTAATGTTATCGGCTAATTTCAATTGGTTGGCTTCAGACGAAGAATCTTTCGGTACATCTCTAGATTTTAAAACTTCGTTAATAGTATCTTTTAAATGTTGTGCAGTAGCACTGCATAAATTTAAGATATCTAATGGATTATCTTTATTAAAATCTGACTCTGTAGCATCTAATGCGGCAGTGATATCCGCTGTTAAATTAGTTAAATCACTGTCCAGAATAGATGACATATCTGGAAATAAGTCAGTCAAATTTTCAGTAGAAACTTCTTTATTCTCTGCCGAGGATTCACTTTTGGGATTTTCATCCTCATTTTTCACCAATTCATTGCCGTTCTCTTCTTTCTCTTCAGCAATATCGTCTTTTGGTGTATCAGTCATGGTCTCAGCATTTTGAATTTCAACTTTGTTGGAATCATCACCCTTCTGAAAAATACATTTAAAATATTAATGATCAATTGATCTTTTTATTGTAAAGATTTGAAATTAATTTCAAATTAAATAGCATTGATGATAATTTAAAAACTATGTTATCATTATTACAACTTAATACAATGGACGTCAGTACACGAACTTAATTCGTTCCAGAAGATTGTTCAAGTGCCGATTTTTCCCATAAGAAATAAAACAGATTAATCTGTTCCAGATCTGCCAAAAATACACTTATAAAGGCATTTAACCAGAATTTAACAAGCCTAGCATGCATAAATCATAAAAAAAACAAAAATACCCATATGCAATACTGACAAAGTATGCCTATTAATTTTATTTGGTTGAACATAAAATTTTTGAGTACTTTTAAAAACTGTCACTTGTTTACATAGACGTGCGATTTAATTATAATAGTTGTGAAATTTATTGCATTATTGCTGATGTGAAGCTTATTCCTTGTTTAGAAGCTTATTTTAAACTTTATACTTCATATTTTGTTTGAGTAACATCAAGCATATGCTTTCAGTTCGGGAAAGGATATAATGCATGATGTGAAAGGTGCACCTAAACTTCAAACGTGTCAAATGTGGTTTTAAAAGTTCCATCCTGGAAATTTTGAACTAAAGAATACATAACAGAAGGGCATCAAAAACTGTTGAAGAAGAAAAATTGCAGGAAGAAATTGTTGAAAATTGACAAATAACTCTCAACAAATTTTAATATTACAAAAGATAGCTTTAACTTAATTTAAATCTTAACATGCCACAGACATGTATTGTCGAAACACGACGACTTAAAGTAGTTGCAAAACATGACAATTGAGTTCTGTGTGCATTAAGTGAAAAAAAACAAACTGGATTGAGTATAATTTTGTATAATGAAGAGCTGTAACACTGGAGTTTCATTTAAATTAGTTACTCGTTTTTATCATAGAAATTTTTTTATGGATGACAAAAATAAAAATATTTGTTACGAGCAATTATTTATTGTAACATCGTCACAATGCTGGGTTGCAATTTTAATTATTTTAAATTTATTTAATTTAAAATATATGCTTTCCACCTCAAATTAATTGCATCTTGCCCCTGTACATCATACTTTTCCTGCTAGCAATAGTCATGCCACTCAAGGAATACCATCTGACTCTTTTCAAGGAAAAATTTTTGAATTAAAATAATATGACTTCCAGTCCAAACTGGAAGTTCATACCTAGTTAATTGAGGCCTCCAGCCCGTAAGCTTTCCATATTTGGTCTCATCTTTTATCTATCTAACTCCGTTCTTGAAATTAAGGAAAGACAGAGAGACATACGACAGTAAGAATTTATAGGTCTACGATTTTTCCAAATTGCAGTCCAATTAACCAAAAGTTTGTTCTAACAGGTTGTGTTTCTTCAGTTGAGTACTGAGTAATTTTTTCCTCAAATGTGTTCAAATACACAATTCAGTGTTCAGAATAGTTCAAGTGCTAAGTACCACTGTAAATGGATAGATAAATTGATGTAAAAATATATTTGTTAGAACTGTTCAGTAATTTTAAATAAAAACTAATTTAAAACTGATTTGGCTTAATGTTATAATAGTTAAAAGTTATTAGATTAAAAATTAATCAGTATACAATCATATTAATGAATTAAATCAATTCATTTGCATATGCATTGTAAACTCTCTCTCTATACAAATGTAATGGTTAGATTAATGGGATATTTGCCCAAAATTTAATTATTTTAAATGAAAATTCTTATATCTATTAATAGTGTGAGAATCCAGGGTTAATAATTTAATTTGTTAACAAATAAAATTATTTGATAAAAGTTTTACTTGTTTTTGTAAAAATGTACAAAGTTGAAAAAAGAACTTCCTGTTAGGTTAGAGAAAGGTAACACAATTCCTTCAAAACCAATAGTTTAGCGTGGAATTTCTCACGTCCTATCCACAAAACCACCCAACCTCCATCATGCGTCAGAAGAGTGGCGGGCTTATTTTAACTAATTTGATTGGAGGAGATTTCTAATAAAAAAGGGACAGGTCACCCCTAAACATTCTTAGCTCAGCTCAGCTCACAGCTCTCCACCCAGTGTTCTCTCCTAGATGTTCTTGACCTCTCACAAGATAAGTTTAGACTCCCTGTGTTCCAGTTGTAGAAGCCCATGTACCCTCCTCAATCATCAGCTCATCTCATAGATTCTCTTACATAACAGGAAGACAGAATATCACTGAAGGACTAACTATGGAGAGAGAATTTGCAACCTCTCTCTCCATAGAAATGGAAAGGTTAGATTAGTGGGCTGATTATTCAAGTTCCCTTTTATAAGGAATGATATAAAACAATTAGATATTACAATTCAAACATTATATAAATCTTTTCAATTTTATTTTTCCACTTTAAATTGTATACATATTATTTCATCTTATTAATAAAAATATAGTTAATTAATCAACTTATTTAACTGACTGTCATTCACCTAACTCCGTCGTCTTATCCACGATAGAAACAGTCTCTCCTAAAATTCCAGAAGTTAGTTACAAATTTCCATTTGCATCTTAGTCCACATAATCAACTATGTGGTGTTGGGAATCCTGATTTGAGAGATTAAAGCAATCTCTAAAAATACAAACGGTCATCACAAACGTGTGACGGGTCAGCCAGAGCCCCAGAAATTCACAATAGATCAAAATGCATTTTGTAAAACTATAAATCAGAATATAAAGATTCATTGACAATTCTGATTACTGTCCAGATCAGATACAAAAACCCCAACTAGTTTAAATTAAAATATGATTAAAACTTACAGCTAGGCATTTTTTTAAAATTATATTACTATTTTTTATTTTATGACAGAAATGCCAACAGATGCCACTACAGATAGAAAGCTATAGTGAAATTGAAAATCAATAAAACAGATATTGATTTATATAGGGTTGAACCGAAAGTTTGTTTGCGTATTTACATAATCGCTCGTTTGTGTCGCCTCTGTTGTGCTTATCAAATTTTAACTAGTTTAGGTGGGCATTATAAATATTTACATATTTAATATGCAAGTTTAGTTAACAGAATTTTAAAAAATAACTGTCTTTTAAGAAAAAAAAAACATTAAAATGATAGCTAAGAAGGTGCATTTTTGACATCTCATGCTCTACTTTTTCTTAAAAGGAAAAATGCAACAAAATCTCAAAAGAAGATATGTGCTGTATATGGAGAGGATGCAGTTACTGATTGAACATCCCAGAAATGGTTTTCAAAATTTAGGGCAGGAGATTTTTCTCTTGAAGACGCACCTTGGTCAGGACAGCTCTCGATCTTAGAAGATGAGTCTATAGTGGCTTTAATCCAAAATAATCAGCATAGAACAATGCATTACACGTAATGTTAAATATCATAAGTCTGCTTAAGTACAACATGCAAAAATATTTTTTAAGTTTGACAGTTTCCAATAAATTTATAAATAATCTTATAAAAAATAATTTTTTTAAAACACAGAGCATAAGTTCTATGTTATATAAACCACATGTGTTATGTATGAACTGTGAGTTTAGCATTGAGTCTCACAGTTCATGCTAATATGGTTTTCTGTAACATAAAGCACTGTACAGGGGTTCACTGTATATATGATTTTTTCATGTACGCTATTTAGCATTACAAGAATATTTTTCAATGAGTAAATCTTTCTGTATCATAATAAAAATATATAAAGAAAATTCCATTATCAACAGTAGAACACTTACTGGTGATTCCGTTTCTTCTTTAGGTGGATCACCTGTTTCTTCATTGGAAACTGTCTGAATAACAGTTTCTAACTGTTGCCATATTTCCTTTCTTTCTAAAACATCATTGACAATATTCACATCCTGAAATAATAATTTAGGATTATTTTTATAATCATAATCATCATATTTTTAAAATTAAAATTGAATTATAAATTATTAAAGTTTAAACCTAGGCACAGAAACAAATATGAAAATATACAATTGAATTAATCATTTAGGAATCCACAAATCATTATCAAATAATCTACACTGTTAAGCAATGAATTATCACTTAAAAAGTCACTCTTGTTCTCATATCATTGATTGATTCTTCAATAAGAGCCATCAGCACATTAAAACGACAGACAGCCACAATTTCTCATTACAGCCTCTAGAGTGAAATCAGTGTGGATGAGAATCAAAGAAACAATATCACATCTTATATTACCTATGATAAATTACAGGGTTGGTTTGTATCTGATTCCCTACAACAGTAAGCTGACACCTTACTATACTTCCATTTGACCATATTCTTACATGAAGTCATTTATGAAATATCACTAATCGAAAACCTTTAATACTGTAATTTTATTACCATCACTGATTACAGAACAATAATGCATCCAAGTAGTATAATTAATGAACGAGCACACCTTAGTTTTAATGTTTTAAAAATGTGAAAAGGTAATTTTAATGTTAATAAATCAAAATTTCTATGGATAAAATGATTTTTGCGTAATACAACTGAATGGAGCTCAAATATATAGAAAAATCAATACTTTTTTTTACTAGTATAAGTGTTATTGACAAGTATTTTCTGTCTAGTCTAGACAATCTTCAAGTCCCTTAATAAATTAACCATTATATTTCCAAATTATAGCATTATAAACATTCCTTCAAAAATAAGAAACAAATTTAAACCAGATGAACAATAATATATAAATTACAGAAGAACGTAATAAAATAATAAATATATAGATCCTTTTTGTTCTTTTTTGAAAATGCTTTTGAGTGGTTTATTCTCATTGATAATAGTGATGATATCTTTTGATGTCATGAAATAGGAATAAACTTTAATAATATGTTCATTTAAATCATTAGAAGTCTAAAAATATCTAATTTTATGCTGAATTGACATTGGCAATGATGACAACCACAGATCCTAAACAATAATGATAGTATGTCTTTCATCGTATTAATTCATCACCAATGTATTTATATTGTTCATTAGTTTTGTGTTAGAGCATGTGCAGGTTACATTAGGTTTATCATCCGTTGATTTCTGCACTTTTAGACTGGATTCGACAACATCTCTTTAGTATTTTCTGGGCATGTCAAAGAGCCAAGGTCTTTCTTCAACAGGATTAACCATCTAACTATAGCTTCTAAACTGACTGTAACATTTCACGTAATAAAGCTGTATCAGCCTTACTCACTAACAAAATGTTTGCTTAGAAACAGACATTTTAAAGATAAAATGTATCATTTTTAACAGCCACATTCAGCATCTGCTTAAAAATCTATCAATCAAGAGAGGGATGCTTTTGCACAATTGCAAATCAATTAAATACTTGAAAGGTCTACATTCTTTGTTTTTCATCAACATCCTGTCTATCAATTGATTAGTCTCCTGGTATGGATTGACTTCAGATTCCAATTTAGACAAAATTCAATCTATGCTTAGCAAATCTTATCTTTTGCTCAATAACTCTGTCATATTTTCCATACCAAGAATAGCAATATTACTAGCATGCATCTTAGCCTTCCTCCCTTGATCGACCATATTCATTATTTTGATGCCCAATTATTTTATAAATATCTTAACAGTATTTTTATTCGTGTTCTTTCTTTCAACTCTCAAAATCAAAGTTTTATATACACCCCTTTTACTTGTCTAAATATAACTCTTATATTCTCGGTTCTTTCAAAATCATTAGGATCATAGAGCATTAGTTTACATCACATTATTTTAAATAAATTTCTTTTATTTTTTTATATCTATGTTTATATTTATTGTTTTTGTATTACCTTTTATATATTTTTAATGGGAATCATTGTGAGGTTTGCCGATTGAGGAGAGTGTCGCAACAGTTGAGCGGTCAGCACTGTCGTGTGGGAGTGGAAAAAACTTACTGAGACAGGTTCTCCTTTGTATACCGTTTAATAAATATAAAAATTTTTCTTACAACAAATGCTTAAAACGGAGTAACACCTATCCAAAGTTCAGCAACAAGTTCGTAACACTAAAAGTTCAACTGTTCTGACGATAGTTTTTCTTCCGGCGATGGAGGCATGAAGACGTCGACTCCGGGCTGCACAACACTATTTGAACCAAGATCTTCTATCTACAAGGTAGACTTTAGCGCTCTTGATGGCACAGGAGGGTGGAAACAAGTCTTCCGAATATCTGACAAGTTCTCGTGGGAGAATGTCCAGATGACAAGAGTCCTGGAGAGGAGCACTGCGAACCAAAGGCCAAGAACTATGAACCAAGAACATCACATCCTTTTTTTGTGTGGTTTTTATAAGTTTTTTCTGAGTCCCAGATCAAACATTCCGATAGGTCGATGTCGATCGGCCCCTGTTCTCTAATTGGTCTCCCCTCTTCGTTACGAATTGTAACGAGATCGGAGCCCAGATCGTGGGGTGAGTCAACTCCGATTGACAATTTGATTCCTATCGAAGACGTTCTATCTAAGTACAGTAATTCATCCATTGTTTTAACCTGAGTAGTTCGACTTTCTTAGAAATTTTCACAGATACAGTGGTGCCNTTATTTGCAATTCTTTCAAGATATTTATTTTATTTTAAAAATACCATTGATTATGTATATTTATAATTTTTGTTATACATTGTTATGGTTTTGTTCTAATTATTTAAAAAATTTTTTGAAAATTTGAAATATCATTGTTGAACTGATACAGAACTTGTTTAAGATTGAAAACATTTATAAGTTTTTACATTTTGTTACTGGATGTTAAAGGTTTTGTTGATTGTGCTTAGTAATTCATTCCTGTTATTGAGAAGAAAGTAATTTTGATTGGAAATAAATTATTGATTAATTTAATAAACATATTTCTCTCAGTAACAAAAAACAATAGTATACTTTTATTAACTTTTGGAACCTAACCCCATGTTTTGTTTTAGTCCTTTGTTTCGTATAGCATGGATTCACAAATCACGGCATTTTTCAGAACAAAACTAACGTTTTATACAGGGATACCTGCATATAATTTTAATAATAATATAATAATTAACTATTTACTTTTCCAAAAACTACAAGCAAATATTTTAATTAGCATCAGTTATATTTACTTGCAATCTATCTTCGTATTAGTATAAAATTATTATTGCGACCATCAATGTTCATAAAGGACTATGTATATTCTTAATGAACAAATGAACACAAGTTTTAAATACTATTACATATGTAAGGACCCGGATGGGGGTCGACTTGGATGTCCGAATGAAGATCTTAAAAACCTCCTTTTACAACATGAAAGGGAGAAATTAAAGGTCGTGATTAAACAATAAAAGTTTTTTGTAAAATATTAAAACAAAGGAAAAGTGGTGTTGAAAAGACCAAAGTCGGGGAAAACGTAATTGAAAAGGAGTCGGGTTTAGTCACGACATTGACCTCTCCCGCACCCTCCAACAGGTTTTGAATTGCCACCAAGTGACTATGAGAGACCAATGGAAAGGCAACTTTGGGTGAAAAACTGATAAATATGCGTGATTCAAGTGCGTTCTTGGTTCTCGGTGCTCCACTTCATGATTTTTGCAATCCTGTCGATCAACAGCAATAGGTTTGTTGACTCCTGGGACTTACCGTCACTCTCCCATGACGTCTTGCTTTGTCCAAATTCGCCCTTCTCCAGAGACTTTTGCTCGAAGCTGTGCCGCACACCCTGGGGCCGTCAACTGCAATGTACGACATCGAGGGACCGAAAGAACTTCCAACCGAACGTCGGACTCGAATGGACATTTCATTCACTCCCCAAACTGTTACATTGTAACTTTGCAAAACGTTGTAAGAAAGTTTTTGGTAATATAATAAACAGGTTAAAAGATGGAAAGCTTGCTTCAGAGAATTTTTCCACTCCCACACGCTAGTCGTGACCATGTGACAATCCTGGTAAACCCACCTAGTTGGCTAACTTCACACATATTCACAATAGTATATAAAATTATCATTTCTATCACCTTATTATATCTATGAAGATAAATATAATTTATCATACAGTATAATTATAGAGGAAAACTGTGGCAAAATGAAGTAACCCCGGATTATAAAATTTTTTTTCATACAAAATTAAAATATTTTCCGTGCACGAATTTCGACCCACTTCCGGAGCCTCACATCATTGTTCTGGGGCAGTCATCAAATGTTCTTACCAATGCTATTGTAATTTAAAATTAAAATAAAGAATTACCATAAACTGTAACAATAACATGGAAAAAGTGATATGAAAGACCAGAGTTATGCCAATACAGTGAGAGCTAGTCTAATTACAGGTAATCCTCGTAAAAGATGGCACTTCTACAACATGGTATTGCTCTAATATGGTATTGCTCTAATAATCTTTACAAAATTCTAATCACAGCAAACCAGGAACTTGATATTTTGAAAAAACATATAATTCTAAACTATTCTTGATTCTTCATGTATCAATCAAATAAAATCATTTTAAAATTTGAAAGCCAAACTTTGTCATAAATATTTATCACCTATAATTTTTGCATTTTTATAATTTAATTACCATAAATTTACTACAATTGATAAAAGTGCTCGTAAAAATCTTGCTAATGTTAAAAATTGCCTGGGAATAATCAATATAAATTAATCTGAGTGATATATTAAAATAAATAATACTATCTCATTGTAGTTTGATACAAAGATATTATCATTTGTCATGAAATATCACTTATATAAATTTCACTCATATTTTAATAATTTATCACATTTAAAAAGGAATTAATTTGTACTTCTGCATTACAGCAAGAAGATTGTTATTACCACAACACAAAGAGAAATAGTTTTTATAAGCATTGCTTTTTGTTCTAGAATTCCAGATTGGCATTGTCTTTTGTTTGGGAACACGGGAGAAAAAGTGAAGACAATAGGAACATAAATTTAAAAAAGGATGAATAGAATGCCGATGAAATTTTTAGATAAATTCTCCTTCTCTGTGATATCTGTTAGGTTAAGAGAAATAAATTTCTTTGAAATATGACATTATACTTCTTTAGGAATTAGACACTTCTAAATTATATAAAGAAATTTGTAAACAGCAAACCAGTTCATCTGATCATTGCTTTCATATTATTTGCAATTCTTTCAAGATATTTATTTTATTAATATATTATTTCAATCTTCCTTATACAGCTTTATAATGTACACATTTGATAAATGAGTTATATTAATTCCCTACATCTGAAAAACTTTGACATTAGATACAGAATATCTACGAATACTTAAATGGACCACCTAGATTCAATCCAAGGTCACCCAGATAGGCTGGCACCTTAATAACATCAGCCATCAGGAAGTTAAAAGATAAATAAATAAATCTTTAACTTTATAATAAGTAAAAAAAGCCAAATTTGGTACAAAGTAACTTTGCATGACCATATGCACTCCCTGATATGCAAACTAGCAAGTGTTTGCATGCAACCACATCCATTTAAAGGAGTGAGCTGCTTTAAACTTGAATCCCTATTTCCTGAGTACAGTGGTCCACTGAAATCGGATGTTTGAATTGGTTTACAATTGGAGGTTGAACCCATCTATGTTTACTACGAGGAAAAAAATCTATTCTACTCAAAATAGAACATTTACTACAGTACTAATTTTTATTGTTCATATCAAAAACTGTAAAAAACAACCACACTTCCATAACTGGAAGTTGGGTTATTTCTTGAGGTTGCGGAGTTAATTTACAGTTCAGTTTAATGAATTCTGGTAAAATTTTTGTTCGCTTTATCGTACGAAAATTAATATTGCAACAGCAGCATTTTGCAGGGAAACAGCTAGCAGCTAACTTCACTTTAACATGAAAATTTGCTTTATTAGTATTCGCTTTAAGGTAGTTGACTATATATTAAAAATAAACCATAGTATATGTAATAAATAATTTATCTTTATATCATTAAATCTTATTATCATTTAAGCATTTTCCATCCTAGAATTTCATATGAGTAAATTTGGCAAATATCCTAGCCAAAAACTTGATCCATTATGATCAAGTTTTTGATCAATTCAAGAAAACTGGTTGCATTTGTAAGAGAAAAATCTGGTTGTCCTTTGGTGTCTGATCAGGCGATGGAACAACTTCAAGAAACCTTTACAAAATTCTAATCACAGCAAACCAGGAACTTGATATTTTGCAAAAAACTGTGTGACACTTGTTATGAAAGTGTCTAAAAACATGTCTATAACAACTCTAGTATCTAAGATCCATTCAAAACTTGTGTAATTCCAAATTAGAACACTAGCCTGACAATATCCTTTTAAAAATGGACACAAATGTTTGCTTTTTAAATGAATTGTTCATTTGCTGTTTTTTCTGGTTACTGAGTTAGATGGTTCATCAACTCTAGTAGTTGCATCACCTAAATACAGGGAACTACATTTATCATCTGCAGTTCTATGAATAACTGCAAGTTTTAGTAAGATTATTGTTTCTTATAAAAGATACACAGTGATGATGCTAACATTCCGTCTTAGCATCAAGGCAAACAAGCACAATGTGCAAATTTGAAGGTTTGAGAATTTCACTGAATTGTAAAACATGTCCATGATTTACCAAAAACCAATATGTTTTGTTATCTCCAACTCAAAATGTCTAGACCTTTCTTTTTTGCTGGTAGTCCATCACAAAATCAATAAGACAACTGAGTGGCTTAAGACACAACTAAAACAAAACAGTGCTAACTTCATCATTCAAGTGGATGAACTTCCCCTCACTACTACCACAATGTCTAAAAATAGAGAGGTCGCGGCCAAAATTTTCATCTCTAAAACGTGAACGACGAATGTTGAGCATTGGTGTTTGAAACATCATTGTTCCAAATGCCATTGTCAAACTGGCTTACTGGATGGTGATGATCAATGTTTGACAATCATGTTTTAGAGATGGTTTTCATCTCTAAAACATGATTGTCAAACAAAACTTTAGCCGCGATCTCTCTAATAATTAAGCACATGAATGCCAAACTGGTGGATTGGTCATGCTGTTGCTAGTGATCACCAGCTTTTAAAGTAGTCTCCTCCATGTTACTTTTTTCATAGGTGTTTATGAAAGACCCCATTTAAATACCTCTCCTCTCCAAGAATCTGTCTGACTAAAAATAATCAACATTGTAGTAGCAATCAATAGAATCACTGATGCCAATATATTTCAACACATGTGGTAGGAACTGAAATATTGCATTGACATTTGTAGACTGACCAATGAAGCTCATATTGAACACTTGTAAGCTTTCCAAGTAAACTTTCATAGTTGCTTTACTCGTATATACAAATCATAGCCTGAATAAAAGCACATTGAGGTTATTCAATTCTTTTTCACTAGCCTCGCACATAGTTAAATATATAATTATAAAACAATGTAGTTAAGAAAATGGATAAATTAAATAATTAATGCACTATTCAATGAATATTCTTGATGAAAATATCATCAGTAAATACTATAAAATATATCATTATTACAAAAGTAAATTGCACATTAAAACCAGTATCTGATTTAAAAATACAATTATTTTAAAAGCTGGAATTTCTCAGAGAAAAACATAGAATTTGGAAAGAAGCCGAATTAATAAGAAAACTATCCGACGAAAACTATCCGACGTACAAAATTTAAGAATTGAAGCCATCGACATCTATACGGCAGCAAGCAAAGTTCTCTCTAACCTTAACTGTCCAGTTCCGTGTGCCAATATATATCAACACGTGGTAGGAACTCAAATATTACATTGACATTTTATTATTATGTATTTTACATTATCATCCAAAGCACTTTTTAACTATATTTAAATATATAAATATTGAATCGCAACAAATGAATTTTAAATGATGTCATGGAATATTTAAAATGTTCCACTTTAGAACTCAACATAGCTTTTATTTATGAAATGGCTTCTAACCTGAAGCAGGTCTGTAAATTGGGCCAAAAACATTTATTCTGTATATAAAGTTAGTGCTGGAAAAGTACAAAAAGTCTGAATGATTTTAATATCAGTTTTATTTTGTCTTTGTTGAAACCATCATCAGTCATTATAACATATGATTTAATGAACCTGCCTAATAAAAGTGCCAATCTCTTAATCCAGCAAAAAATTATTTTACTTGCTAGTACTTGCACCTTATCAAAATCATCATAGGTCTACTTGCTGCATTTTTATGCAAATAAATAATGCTCTTACACGTGAAAGTCACTTGTTTTCACATTTTTGAAACATATCTTCACTTATAAGAGCATACCTTAAATATAAAGGCATGCTCTTATAAGCAAAAACAACACTTACATAGCAGTGTCAATATAAATGTACATTAAATGTAAATATATTGATACAGTAATTATTCGTTAACATTTCTGCGGTAACGTTTATTAAAAATATAAAGTAAAAGACTGCCTCCGATACTATAATAATTTTTAAAATATCGCGCTAATTTTGTAGCACTATAGTGTAGAAATACATTACTAAATATCCATTCTAATGCCATTTTAGTTACTACATAAACCTATCAATGATCCGTAATTAGATAGAAAGTACTAGTAAAAATAATTTTAAGCCAATACGAAAGACTGACAAATTTTGTTATAATTGTATTAACCAGTATAGCACGATAGTTCCCAAATAACATTATTGCAGACACGTTAATATCTAATTCAAAAAGAATAATAATAAATTTCTCAAAAATATACCTCTCGTGAAATTTCTAAGTGATTTCAGTTTTTATCATAATCAAATAAGATAAATGCATTAAAGGTATCATTTAGAATGACGGTTCTCAAAGTGGGAACCGCAAACTAACGACGGTCCGCAATCGCGCATCGGACAGTTTACGGACCGATCTATGCAATTTAGACGGAGAAAAGAACGTAACGTGCGTCATATAACCCTCGGGTTAGATTACCAGATAGATTGTGCCAAAATATTTTGTCTATCGTTACCTAAAATTATATTTACGGGATAAGAAACAGACGGGTGCACTGGTAGTCCACAGTTCATCCGCGACTAGGCTCAGGTGATTCACAGATCGATAACTGCTAATTTAGAATGCGTTAATACTAAAAAATGTTAATAATGCACGGTAAAGTGTCATCAAATTTCATATTAAAGCATTATTTTTTTATAGCATCATTTTGCAGAACATTTCATAAATATTTTTCTAAGTTAAAGGTTTATTCATTAAGTTTCCAATCTAGAAAATTGTTTTTTAATGCTATTTAAATTTAGATATTCTAAAATAATGAAGATTATAAATAAGTAAAAAAGTTTAGTAAACAACTAAATTGAAGAAAAACAACTTTCTTAGATCATGGACTAATAATAGAATCATCTCTTAATAGATAAGGCATCTTCATTTCGTTCAAACGATGAGAATTTGGATCATTTACCTAAATTTGGGAGAACCACCACGCGACTGTGGCATGTATCGTATTTCATCCGTGAATAATTTTAAATTCCGTTAAATCTATCGATCGAATAATAAAACCGACGATATTAATATTAATATTAAAGTAAATAGAGTAAATTTTGCGCGAAAAAATTAATTTGTAAGTTGATATAATTTAGTTTTAGTTACGTCGTACGTACAGACATTCATACACATTGACCTAAAAGTAACATGTACCGGGATATTTGCTAAATAAACCGAATGCAAAATCTAAGTCCGATTTAACGTTGGTCGATGGAAATTTTTAAACGTAATTCGTTATATTTTTATATAAATTGACTTTTATAAGCGATATAATTCGATTAAAACTAACTTTTAAGTCGCTTTCTTCCATTTCGGCCATCTCTGAGACTAGAAGCGTGCTTCGACGGTAGCCGAAACTTTCAAACTTCACCGAACGATCTAAAATTAATTAAATTAAATTGCACCTTCTCATTCATTTACATATTGATTAATAAATATAATTATAATATTAATATTAATAAATTAATTAANCCGGCTAACAATCGAAAAAAATTTGAGATTACGCTTATCACCGTTCATATAACCACATAATAGACACTGAAACCAAACTATCCGAGCCATGGAGGACGCCATGTCGCTTTCCATCGAAAACTACTACTACAAGCGGCCGGAATACAGAAATGCGTTTCAATGAAATTTTTAAACGGATGCCGATCGAGCGGAGTTACGCGGAGGAATAAAAGAACGCACTTTATACCAATCTTCTACTCGCAGCCCATTCTTGAAATCCCGTAAACCAGCCGTATTTTATGAGACAAGCGGGGAAAATGGGTCACAGTAAAAGCAAAGCTATTGGAGTGTTCGTAAATTCAAACGTAGTTTTCGACGTTATGTTACGTCATTATCTTTCGCTTTAATGAACGCATCGCGTATTATCAGTTCAATGTAAATATTTCAAGGCCGACATATTAAAATATAGATATAAATACGATTACGTTAATTGTTGTAACTATTTAATTTTTATAAGAATAATCAATATAAAAACTTATGAGCGTACAAAAGAGAAATCATTTATCAGTTTTGTTTGCATTTGATAACGTATCAAGCTTAACATATGTATTATGACAATTATTATGTTTAATTTATATACGGATAAATAATCAAAATGTTTTTAAAAATATTTTAGTTAAATAAAATACTGTAGTTAAGGCCTAATCCTACCTCTCTGGGAGATCCGGGCGAGCAACCACAGGAATTTTTAAAGGATGGTCTGTACCGGATAGTGCAGGCTCCGGAGGTCCCCATTGTGAACCTAGCCAAATCCATAATGTGTTGAGGGAAAAGAGTAAAAAGTTAATAATGAATAAATAAAATTGTTATAGTATACCACTTTTTACTATTAACATCTTATTTTTCCTTAGAATACGTGGTACAATCTTAAATTCAAATACAGTACTTAAGCCGATGTTTGTACAGTAGAGCATCGATTATCCGACTCAATTGGGGAGTGGGGTTGGTCGGATAATTAAAAAGTCGGATAACCGAAAAGTATGAAAAAATCCATTATTAGTGTAGTATATTATTATATCCCATGTAATTAGTATATTAGTATATCGCTATNTATTAGCGATTGTCTTGGATAAAATTGTTCCACGAATTTTATTATGCTTATCTGCAACCTTAAGATTACTCATATTCTATTGTCTTAGAAATAAAATCTGTAGATATAGAGAATTTTAAAAATTCTATTGGTTTCTGTAATTTTTTTTTTGAAGAATTGTTGTTTTCATAGGTAGGATCGTGAATATTCAAATTGATAATCAGTAAAAACAATCTACAGTAGAGCCTCGATTATCCGACTCAATTGGGGACTTGGGTTGGTCGAATAATTGAAAAGTCAGATAACCGAAAAATATGAAAAAATACATTATTAGTATAGTATATTATTATATCCCACGTAATTAGTATATCGCTATTAACCTATTTTGCGGTTGAATTTTCATCGATGTTAAGCCTAACAAAAATTTTTTAAAATAATAATCGTCGCTATTGTATCGTTAAAAATTAGAAAATTAAGCCTCGTTTGAATACTGGCTCCCTTTCATGGTCGAATGTCTGTTGCCAGCTAAAACACGTAAAAATAATATTAGAGTAGCCGAGACATAGCCAAATATTGTAGCGCCACATCACTAGCGGACATTTGAAATTTGCCGACTAGGACGGTCGGTTAACCGAGGTGTCGGTTAATCAGGGGCCGGATAATCGAGACTCTACTGTATTTACACTAAGAATTCCGTATAATTTATAATTATTAAGATAAAATGAGTTGTTCCTATGTAATTTAACATACAAGAATCGAACGTATAAAAATTTATCATCATTATGAATTAGTACATGTTTTTTTTCTGCTCTTTTTGCCCTATGAGCACTAATCGGGCATATCATCGATTCGGCCAGGCAAACAATGGAGCGTCAGGTTGAAAAAGAACGAGGCACGACATATTTAGGTTAAGCCATTCTCAAAACCTTCCCGAGATTTTCCGACCACCCGGATTCGATCCCGGACGTCCCAGAGCAATGCGCTAACAAGTTTTCCGGGTTTTCTCCGCGTCTGTAACGCCTTAATAGAAGCCAGTTACCCTTAAAAGACCTCCCGGAAGGCATTTGTAAAATTCCCGTAAATCTTACTAAATAGTTCGAGAATAGTCCAATAATAGTGTCCGAGGAAGCAAAGGAATACAAGGCTTAACATATTACACATTTATTTAACATATATCTTTGCAAGTACAGAACAGGGCCAAAAAATAGGCAGGTGCCCTCGGTTTCACAGCTTATATATATCGGGCAGCCTCGCATTCGGGCGCTGCGCTTGACAAGTCTTGGTAGGACACGACACGACAGCATTATTCCCCCGTTCTCACATAAATCCAAGCAGTTAAAAACTACGACCAAATTATCGGATGCTAACGCCATCGTTCTTTCGGAGTATTATAGCCAGAAAGGCTACACGCTCCATATAAAACCAATGAGATAAGAGAAAGAAAAAGATGGCGGCGCCCGTACTATCGATAGTATCGTGATACGAAAATCTATAGTTTTAAAATATCTGTTTTTAGATACAAAAGTTAATGAAGGGTTCCAATTCTAACACACAACCATAAAATGGATTGTCTTACCGACAGAGCATTCAAAATAGCCACGAAAGAAATAAGAACGCCGGCTAACAATCGAAAAAAATTTGAGATTACGCTTATCACCGTTCATATAACCACATAATAGACACTGAAACCAAACTATCCGAGCCATGGAGGACGCCATGTCGCTTTCCATCGAAAACTACTACTACAAGCGGCCGGAATACAGAAATGCGTTTCAATGAAATTTTTAAACGGATGCCGATCGAGCGGAGTTACGCGGAGGAATAAAAGAACGCACTTTATACCAATCTTCTACTCGCAGCCCATTCTTGAAATCCCGTAAACCAGCCGTATTTTATGAGACAAGCGGGGAAAATGGGTCACAGTAAAAGCAAAGCCATATTGACGAAATTATTGTTTTTTTTTTTTTTTTATCTGTTGTAGAACAAAAGTACAGTTACAAACTAACGGGAACCTGTAGTTATATAATTCTAGGCAAAATAATTATAATTTGCGATAAGTATGAAATGCATTAAAGTACCTACATATGGCTTATTATTTTGTTCTGCAGATGTTTTACTCGATAATAATTTATGATAAGATTATATAATAAGCAGATATAAAAACATTAAATTACTAATTCCTTTAAAACATTCAAAGATACAAAAATAGGTACAGCCTAATTATATCCAAAAGCCTTCTCGATTTTCTTAAACACTAAGTCTCTAAAACGTGCATTGCGAGAAAAGGATTCACTGTACGTCAGAAATGGTTAAGACAATTAAACGTGCACTTCTGGCTCCACTATCCATAGACGTATCGTGAATACTATTAAAATTCTACCATCTCTAATTTCAAACAGTAGTAGTACCTCTCTGCATCAAATCTCATAGGAACTTTGTGGTCCCTCACAAAATGCCATTAAGACACCACAGTTGAGGATGATTCGATAATTCAGAATTAATATTGGCACGATCGTCTAATTATTTTTAAACTGCTTTCGTAACAGACGTGCGCACGAATATTTAATACCGTAACACTTGTTAAATCCAAAATTGGCGTGTTTTCATACTATTAAATATGGTAGAGAACCACTATTTAAACCGAGACGTAGCGGCGAAGTGCACAGTTAAACAGAATCGAGTATGGCTTCTCCATTGACGATTGTTATTGTCGGTAAGTAACTTATTTTTCAATGTGTAATTCTATTGTGAAATTTAAATTAATTTTTCTTGCAGGATTGGGTTTTATCTCAGTCGGCTATAAAATGGAAATACTAAATACAAGGCAAAGCGGTTTAATTAATCTCTCGTGCCTCGGCAAATCATCAATGTTAGATACTCGAGTAAGTATAGTACTGTATTATATATTAATATTTTTAATATGAAATACTATAAACTGTATGGATTTGCGCCAGGGTCTGTTTCAATGTAGTCATTCATAATGGGAGATCGGGCCAATTTAGAATATGTAATATATCAAAATCTCTGTCTAAACCTACTTATCTAATTTGAATAATTGTAATATAGATTTTACCCAATTTTCGTGTGTTTGGGATTAAATTGATAAAAGACAAAGCAACGCTTGGGCAATCTAGCAAGGGGGTTCCCTCTTTGGAGGACTGAGGGAAAGTTAGGCGTGTGAAGAAAACCACTACCAGCCAGTTGGTGAGGTGACTAACTAATGTCCAGTGGTTTTAATTGCCCAAGCATTTAGTTATTCCTATTTTCAGTTTATCTTTCAAACTGATGAAAAATAAACTCCAATACGGCCACCCTTTATTAAACATCAAACAAAACTGTCTTTTTTAGATTAGTTTAAAATTCCTGTTAATTTTGCACTTGGGTTGTTTTTATTTTGTAGTGTAAAAAATGTTTTTGCTTATTTCTAGGTGAATCTGAATATTTCGAAATGTGTAAACTCGTCGAGCAATGGTACGGACAACATTCTCCGCAGTTTATGTTTGACTAATAATAGCACCACTCTAGCAAATTTCATCGAATGTATTGGTATAGAAGTAAATAACAGTGTATTTCCTTTGGATAAATGTTTCGAGAACTTGTATGCATGTACTTCAAAATATATACATGATGTGGGTCATCAATTTTTTGATTGTACAAATTCAAACATAAGTAGTCTCTTGAAAGCACTTTTATATTTCTTAAATGTCGACCAATCTCGGCCGGTTAGTTTATTTGGAAGTATTTTGGAAACAATCCAAACGGTCTCGAATCTGAGATGTTAATTCGTTGATTATAAAACCACCTTTGTAATTTCTCTTATTAACATAAAATTATGTAACTGGGAAGTATTATATATTAAATTGCACTATATATATTATATTTTATTCTCTATATGTATGGCCCGGCTAGATGCACTTTCATAGTCGTGGTTACACTTATGAACATTGACAATAGGATTTGTCGGTTTTTTGAAGAAATTTGCATAATTTGAAAACCGGGTTTTCCCACTAAAAGAAACCGGTTTTTGAGCTTAGACTTAAACATAAAATGAATTATTTGATTAAAAACATCAACATTTTGACACAAAATCGTCTCTGGCATAAAACGGGAATATTGTTAAATAATACTAAGATTGATAAAACTAACTACAAAAACAAAAAAGCGTCCAATTCTCTCCACAATAACGAAAAATGCTGCAACAACAGAAAAACATTTTTAGCTTTGAATGATATCGATGCTTCTCACATGTAGAATTGTACAGCTCCTTAAAATTTTAGGACCAATACGTTTAGCAGCTGATGCCTTAGAACGACAATATTTGCATCTTGTCGTCCTACTTATTAACGAGTGAAGGCGTATTTGAATTTTTCTTATGTGAATTTGAATATTATCCAGATTATATCCAAATTATTCTGGCAATTTTGTGTGCAAAAAAGACAGTTGTGCAATAGATCTATAGACGTTCTTTGCTTTCTAAAATCATATTTTCTTAGAAAAAATAAAAACTAAAATAATATTTTGTAGTCATGCATTGTTATTCGTTTTTCCTTATGGTTTTATATACAGTAAATTTTATAGTTTAATGTTATAATCTAGCAATTTATTTCTTTCTGTAGACGTCGGTCGATTTTATTTTGTTATATTTTTGAAATTTTATAAATATTAAATAAATTAAAAAGTTCTAAAAGTTGTAAATATTCCTTATCTCCATTTTTCTTGGAGGGGTAAAAATTCGAAAACCGGATTTTTAACAAGTCGGTTTTTGTATAAACCCTAATTGGCAATACACAATAATAATTATTATTGTGTATTGCCAATTGCCTACTGAAAATCTTGCATAGAAGAGCCAAAATAATAATTATTATTATTATTGTGGCTCTTCTATGCAAGATTTTCAATAGAAGGAAACCAAAAGTTGCAAAAGATGTTTTCAAATCTTTAATCACACTAACTTCAGTTTGCAAAAACATTCAAAATGTTTGGGGTTTGTTTTGAACATTACTACAAGCTTCATTCAACCCAAACATTCAACTTCAAAACCTGAAATGTGTATGTTACCGCAAACCAAAGTTAGTCTGAAGACCTTTCTCCGTTAATTAACGTTTGGTTTCCTTAATGTAAATATCAGAATGGTACGAGTCTTACAGGAATTTCCGATACTAAACAATTCATCTCCGAAGCAAGTTACTTTATAAATATGAGTGACGCTCCTAACAAGAACGATCAAAATTTAATCCTTAAAACCAGTTTGTTAAGGACTTAATTATTTCCAATTATAAAGGCACTCTAAAATTCATGATGTATTAATGAGCTCATTACTGTGCATGAAATGCAATGCTTATGACGATTAAAAACAATATGTATCGGTTAGGAGCGAAAACAAAGTTTATAAATTTCATAATGCTTTTGAATTAAATGAATGCCAACTGATATAATGTGAAGAAACATTATAATTTATTTAAAACTGCACTTTTTACAAAATTGGTTTTGTTCTTCTAGCTAAACAAGCCGCCAAAATCATTGTACGTCGGAATCAAAAGCAATTTTGGATCGCACCGTATCGAGCAAACACGATAACTTTCCAGCACCAAAACAATCAAATCTGTAACTACAAAATATTGCATAGGAACTAATGTGATAAAAATACAAACTAAAACATACCGTGTAATTATCGTGTTGTCGAAGAAATATGTAGAAATCTGTATTATTAATACTAATATACAAAACAAAAAAACAAAGCTTTTTTTTCCATTCGTTATCACCCAATCACTTTTTATACATTAAACAGTTCTGTTAATGCAATACTCCTTCAATAAAAAAGTCACAGGTATAAATATTCTATTCACAATTCTCACGAATTGATTAAAACTACGGACACAAATATAGCTACGTACGAGGCTATCTTCTTTTTGAAAAATTTCTTTTGATGTAAGATGAAGACATCTTGATATAAAATTAGAAATTTAATTATATATATATTTATATCTTGAAATCATAAATTTTCTTTTTTATACTAAAGAAAGATACGATAAGAAGTGTCATACGATACAACTATTGTCGATTAATGTAAGAAAGTGTTGCAAGTTTATAAATAACAATTCTGCCTAAAGCTACTCTGTAGTTTTTAAAAAAGCAAGTTTTTCTTGTAATGACTTTTCTGACAAACTCTGAACTTGCTTATTGCACTGAGAGGAAGCCGTGCGGCCAGTACACAAGCAAAAGAATTCTCACTCGTTGCAACAAATAAAAATTTTTTAAAAGTATATTTCGGTAACTCTGTGGAAGATGCCATTCATTTACAAATGATGTCTGATTATCGTCACAAACTTTAAGAAGAAAAAAAAAATCAATTGGTGTTTTCTGTGTTGTTGTTATCTGTCTCTTGATTGCCACGTCGCAAACCTGACATTCTACCTGTATAAAGATGACAAATAATTATATTTTAGTATATTACTCATACATTTAGAATTGCATCTGTATAACAATCTTACAAGAAATTTCATTTTACCTGCGGGTCTCAAGTGATTTAAAGATGCAAGCATACGAATCATAAACGAAGCTGGAACAGTAATTGTATCTTTTGTTTCTTCCAACATTACTTCGTTACGTTTCATTATCTAAAAATTTTTTAAAGCTTATGAATATAATCTGATTTTAATATTTCAAAATAACTTTACTGAAGTAATGTAAATTGGAAATGATTATTCAGAATCTTTAGATTTCTATGATTTTTGTTTTATTTAATTCATAATTTATATTTTAATTTGCTATGCTTCAAAATTATGTTAGCAAATTTCTTAATAAATAAGAATTAATAGATTTTTCAAATATATAATTATTAATAGCATTTAGAAGAACTTGAAAGTTTTATGCTTGAAAAATAATTTTCAATTAACTGTAATTCAATAAGTAATTTTAATTATTTTACCTCTTGTGCCTTCTCCCTGTCAAAAAAGGGTTCGTCGAGTAGTGGAGCCCATAACTTTATATCATAATCTATTCCGCTTGTTGCTAAAACTGCAAAATCAAATTTAATATAATAGTAATTTATATAAAATTAATTTAACTAGCAAAATAAATGTATTGCTGTAATAAAACTAATTTAATTCCAGAAAAGTTTATTGTCATCTCGGGTTAAAAGTAAACAGCAGAAAATTAACACATTATACAAATTTGCATTTCATAATAAAAAATAAGAAGAAAAATAAATCTATGAAACTCATGCATAGCACATTTTAGACCAGTAAAAAATTAATGAAGTTGCTTGCTGATGTGGAGTATTAGTGAAGCCTATTCTATGTAGCTTACAGAGTTGTGTACATTCTCAAAATTTGATATATCAATTTTGATTAAATTTTGCCATCTTCCATTGAGATGAGAAGTACAAAAATGTAATTAAAGAAAAATACTCAATCTGTTATTTATTCCGTATAATTTTTATTGAAAATGCTCTCCCTAAATTCTGTTAAACATGCTCAATCACATCAGAAAGCATGTCCATGCTCCCTCATGTGATTGAATATCCCTAATAAAAACGAGGACCAAAAAATAAAATAAAAAAAAAAGCACTGCATCCACCTAACATAAAATGGGCACCAAAAATAAACAAAATAAAAACAAAGCAACTGATGCTAAAAAACAGGAAAGGATTGAATGTCCATGACTGGCAAGTGAAAGGATTACCTCTCTGTGGCTGTGAAGTGTAAAGATTACCTTCAAATGTGGCCATCAACTATTTTCTTCTGATCATATACACTGTAGTGCTTCGCAACTATTTTCCTTTTTTTTTTTGTTTCGGTTTTTCCCTCACCCCTTTCGTTTTGTTTCGTGGTACCACCCTTCCCCAGTTAATCGTGTGTTGGCAGCCCAATTGGCCAGTTGAGGTCACGTGTGGTGTATATCCGGTTAGTAGGATATATAAGGACGTGACCCACGTGGAGTACGGACCCTTTTGTTTTTTGGTTTTCCGGCTTGTTCCCGACTGTGGTGTTCCAACCAGGTGTGGGTAATCAAAGCGCTGAACGTGAGAAACCCGAGGAAGAAGGGAGACAAAGGAAAAGAAATCGGTTTCCATATGAATAGGAACTGTGTGGTGGTGAACTCTAACTCGTTCAAGTGAGAGAAGATCGGTGGAAGATTAGTAGGCATCGTTTAGTTCTTCAAATGTTTGTACGCGGCCAAGATTTTTGTCGTGAGTAACGTTTGTTATATATCTTTTTTGTTACGCGCTGTTTCGTCATCCCGCTTTTCCACGTGTTGCGAATCCCCATAGTCAATGGAGGGAAGAGAGGAACGAGGTGAACGTATGTAGCGTTGACTCGGGTATAACACAATTTTGTTATTAATTCGCGCCTTGCGTAAATATCCCGTTGTAATTAACGAACTTTAAAATCCCAGATATTGTTGAGCCGACTTGTCTGTGTGTTTTGTGTTCAGCCCTGCAGACCTTGCTCTACAGGGAAACACTACAACACACACAGGCACACACACAAGTCCTTACATATAAATTCAAACATGTGTCAATGTTTGGGTTGGATTATATGTGTTAACTAATATAAATTTAAAATTTTTAAATTACAAAATACAACACTCCTCAATTCTATCATGACACAACAAAGTCACACATGTCTCTAGCGATGTAATATCTTGTCATTTAACAGTCAAATTTAAAATATTTAAGCATAATCATTAAAAGTTATTCATGTTCTGACCTACCTGGATCAAACGGATGAGGCTGAAGACAATTTACAACATGATGATCTGCTTCCATTATCATAATTAATTCTGAAGTGTATCGATCCCAAACAAATACGTGCCCGCAATCAGAACCGCTCATTATATAATTATTTCCCCAAAATGTTGACTCTTTAATCTATTAAATTATATTTTCATAAGAAAAAGGACATTGAGGCAATTTAATTAATTTAAAGCAAATTTTTAAACATTTTTCACTCGTGTTTTCAAACTATCAAAAAAAAAAAAAAAATCTCAACATTTTCCAAGTGTATCAATTTACCATTGTCCTAGCATTTCTGTGTCCCATAAACTTCCTTTTCACTGTCGGTTGGGGTACATTCATTATTTGCACCTTTTCTCGCTCCCTTTCTTCGCGACGCCATCTCAATTCTTCGTTAATAGATTTAAGTATATTGTCTGGAATATTTCCGCTGCTACTCCTAAAAAATACATTCTTTCATCTGAGAATCCTTAAAAGCAATAAATAATAAAATAATATACAACATGTTACTTTTAAAATATACCAACCCTTACAATTTAAAATGAGTAAGTAGGTAATATGCCTTAGAATATTTAGTGATTAAATAAAATATTACAAGAAATATGGAATTAATCTAATTAAAACCAATGAACAATATTATAAAAATTACTTTCAAATAAATTCAAATTTTCTTGTAATTATATAAATTAAAACAAAATAACTGAAAATCATCTATTAAATTGGTAAATTTATACTTATAACTACTGCATATCATCTATTTTCTGTAAAAAACTTCATTTTATAATAATAATATTAAAATTAATAAGCAATTTTTATTTTTACCAATCAGTTATCTAGAATATATACAAAATTACATTTAAATAAAAATTTCCTAACTAATTTTACTTTGCTCTGCTTTCTGAAAGTAATTCCCTATCAAAACCGCTCTCAAAGTGATGTAAAGCTAAGAGGCAGTTACCATTAACTTATGAGAAAAATTTTTGAGCACTCACACCCAAAAACTAACCTACTGAATTGCAACAGACGTGAAACCTAAAATAACACTAACATATAGTAAAAGTGGGAATGATACTTCCTCGTAATTGTTAATACTGTATAACGGTCTTGTCAACTTTTGAAATTTTGGTTATTAATAATTTCCGATGCAGCACTCTGAGGTCCTAATAACTTTTTTCAGCGTTATTTTTCCTCTTTTCNAAACCTAAAATAACACTAACATATAGTAAAAGTGGGAATGATACTTCCTCGTAATTGTTAATACTGTATAACGGTCTTGTCAACTTTTGAAATTTTGGTTATTAATAATTTCCGATGCAGCACTCTGAGGTCCTAATAACTTTTTTCAGCGTTATTTTTCCTCTTTTCCTTTATACTTCTCCCTTCAGAACCCTTCCTTCAACCCTTTCTTCACTCCTTTCTCTTCGTAGTGTGCTAAGTTTGCAAAAGCAGACAGCTCTTCCTCCTACTTTATTATTATTATTATTATTATTATTGAAACAATTGTAATTTATACAAAGTGCAGCAGCCTTAAGAGCTCTCTCAGGCTTTTCTAATACTTTGGGTCTTATCTACCCAACATGTGCACAAAATAAATTGAGATAAAGCACAGATACTAATAGACACAGTTCAAAACTACATGTCTTATGGTCTCACTACTCAGGGTGCATATTGTATAACAACTTAGCACAGAACAAATATTAAATGTTAATTTTTTCTTTTGTCTTTTTTCATAAAAGTGAATATCTTCTTCAAATTTCTCTGTTAGCAAAACAGATACTAATGTAAACAAAGCATAAAATATAGTAAATTCTGCTTAATTGGGCCACACCAAGAAACAGATAATTTGACTAATTATGTGCATAAAAATGAAATTACTACACTGTAAAAAAAATTACAACTATCTGTGTGCTTATTCTGAAATAGGAAGAATTGACTTTATTTTCTTGGTTAGATAAAGACTTTCATAAAATAAATACTAATATAATGATAATACAGACCATTTGTCAAGTTTTATTCAAGTTGAATTCCTCCCATCAAATTGGTCTAGAGACTAAAGAAGTATAATAATGAAGGGAGACTTTGTTTTTAATTTATTTTTAATTATGTTTATTTTTATTACAATCTTTAAAAAATGTATTAAGTGTACTCTATCTTTACTTTACTAACTGCAACTGCACAAAATCAGCACACAAGTCTAAAGCATATAAAGGGCTGTCTTCCTTCCTTTACCAAATGAAACATTTCAATTCAGCAATATTTTTCCTAGTATCCTGTTTAATCAGAGATTCTAAGAAAATGACTGTTTTGTCATATTTTGTTCAATAATTATTGTCTCGTAATCTGCATTTTCATTGTAGGCCATTCTCTATTAGTAAAAAATTCTCATAATTTTTGACTTGTTGCAGTTCCAAAATAATTTCATTTTCCATATAGCTCTTACCTGTAATCTCCATATCTGAATTCATAAAACCATATTTTGCAAAACAATTCTGAATTGTTTTTTAAGAAAAACGTAACAGAGACTAAAAATGTCTTAACTTATTACACAGTCCAGGAAAAAACAGCAGAGACGACCTTTCTTTAGAGGTTATGCCTCTGCAAAAAATGCAAAACAGTCAAAATAAGTGAAGATATTTTTAGTCTCTGTTAAGTTTTTTTAAATTGTAAATTTGTCAGCCTTTTTTTTTACAAAAGCAAAATTCTAAATTGTCTTGCTGCTTACTCCTTGCCTTTGCCAATTAATTGTATCACCGTTAACATTGAAACCTTGCGCGAACTTCTGTATCTTTAAATAATGTCTGAAAATTTGTCTCAACAGCTTCGAGGATATGATAAACTAGCCTACATGATAATGGATCCTAAAACTTTTGATTTCTGTGGTATTAGGAGGTAAAAGTTTCATTTCAATGTTTGTTAAATCATGTAAATTAATATTTACCTTGCAGTTGTACAAAATTATCAAAATTTTTCTGGATTTCTATTACAGTTCTGCATCCTAACTCATCAATCATTTTGTAAAAACATCAGAGGCCATCAACACATTCTTATTGGTGTAATACAAAACTGAAACTATCTATTGCAATTGCAGTTAATAATTCCCTATATCAGTAATAGCAAATGTCAATAACTATAGTAGCTAGTATTCATTTTTCTGACTTCAATATTGGAAAAATCATATTGATAGTATCTGATTATATCAAATGCCACTATTCTACAGTTTGTTATTCAATTATGATTGTTATCATCCCAAATAAGCATCAAGTAGGCCCAAATAATTGCAATGTATTTAATATAAATTTGTTCATTTGTTTCTGTTCTATGTATTTTTATTCAAATAAGTAGCTTCCCCAATTAACTGATGGCCCAATTAAGCAGAATCTACTGTACTGTAAAATCAAAATGGCATAAAGCTAATTTTAAGAAAGGGGATGCCTGTACTGAAAAACATAAAAGCCATTAATAAAATATTTAAATGATGATAAAAGTCTAAGGAACAAATGTGCAAAATATCAATGCAAAATTATCCAAAGACTGAAACGGAGAGTAAACATCTTGATGTATGAAATAATCTTTAACTACATTAAAACTAGAAAAATTATTATTAAATATGAAAGCCAGAAAAGTAATTAGAACAAAATGAATACAAAGGAATAAGTAAAAAATTCAGATGAAGATGAATAAATTATATGAAATTCTTTATATAGAAGAAATGTAATTCAGAATGTCACTGTTACTCATACTTCAAAACAATAATTGAAACAAAACAGAATATTTTAAAAAGATATCATTCAAGATAAATAATTATTGTCAGATGAATTGACTATATTATAGTTTGCAGCAAATGTGGCAAGATGTGATTGATATTGATGGTGATTACCTACAAGACTGAACTGTGATCTTTGTTGTGTTACTGTCAATAAAGTTTTTTTGTTTTCAAAAAGGCTAAATTTTATCTTTACAACCTGATATAATAATCAGCTACGTACCTTCTAACCACCACGATACCAGTTACATTGGTTTTTTGTGGAAATGTGTTTTTATATATTTTTTTATTTTTACAATTATTTTGCAAAGATATCTCAATCTTGCATCAAAAATTCAAAATGACTACCAAAGAATCATTTGAACTGCTAATAGATGATAATTATACAAATTGCTAGATCAAGCCGAAATCTCCTGAAAAGAGTATGTTGTCATTTTGTGCTGGAAAAAAAGATGGTAAATATGCTACTAAGTGCAACAGTTGTTTGAAATTTATTTGCAAAGTGCATAGTACTACAAAAATACTATGCGATAATTCTCAAGACTGAACTATGTAATTGCGTTAAAATGTTCCTGAGTCTAGAAGTGATTATATTACCTGTGGTTTTTTAACAAATGATAGTTAGATGCTATAAGAGATACTTTTTTATAAGATTAGTTTCTTAAGAATAAGAAAAAAAAAATATCTTTGGTAAAAACTTACAATAGGGTAGATTTTTGTATTGTTAAAAAAAGCATACACCAAAAGTTGTAACAATTTTGTGATTTCTTGTAATAATTAAGTAAAGAAAATTATATAAATAAATAAAAGTTGATTATACTAAAGAAGGGTTCCATTTAGCATTTATGCACTTTTGAACTGTCACATTGTTAAATTTGCTCTCTAAAGGCAAATTTTGCTTGGGGGCTGCACAGCCCCCATGATACCAGTTATGATTGTAAAATTTACGAAACCAGTTAAGGGTTAAATTTGAAAAAGAAAAACATAACCACCTGTTAATTTAATTACATATAAAAAGCATTTTAGTATTAACAGGGTGTTAATTTTCACATATGACATTATAGATCAGAAATTTTGTCTGTTAAATCATGGATTTTACTGTAATAATATTTATTATTACAATTACTGTTATTTATGAATGAATATCAAACTAAATTTAAAGACTGTTTTTAATTATTCTGAATAATTGAGTGGAGTATAAGCAGAGCTCTTCATAAGCCAGAAAAGTGTTTTTGTCTGTGATCAAAGTTAAAAGCAATTGCTTTATCACTAAACACAAATTTTTGCAAATATGTACAGCTTGGGAAGACTGACGTCATGATGAAGCCAAAATTTTGAAATTTGATCTATGGACAAACATTTGCAGTCAAAGGCTGCCATGCAGAGTCTATGCATGAATAGCTGGTTATAAGCTGATCACACATTATATGTCAAGTGAGTTTCCAACTGTCAATTTACATTGATCTCTACAACAATTTTAGATTTTGATCAGTTTTAAATCCTGTTTTGCACAGTTTTAATTTTCTATGCTGCAGAGCTCAGTTTCATTATCTAGTTAATAAATAACTTTGCAACATGTTTCAAAAAACAATAAGTTAAATATGATAAATTGAATATAAAACCAAAGTTATAATAAACTTAAGAATATAATCATTTCAAACATTTTCTATAATATGCTGTATTATATTATATTATTAATATTAACAATATAAAAGTTAAATTTGCATTATGACTTTTGTTGTTATACTTTTTAATGGTTTAATGAAGTCTTGAACTTTTCCTAGATATTAATAGGAACTTGTAAGAAAATTTGAATAAATCCTTTGAACAAATGTTTGAACACATTTTGTCTTAACAATTAACTTAAAAAACTGCATGCATTTAATTTTGAAAAATTAATATAAAAGAACATTATACATTGCAGAAATTTAATTTCATGTTTCATAAACAAATGTTCTAAAAATTTCTGGGCTACTTACCTATAAAATGAAAAATTAGTTGGTATATTCTAAAAGTAACATTCGATGTAGAATTATCATGATGTAAATCTTATAATTACCTTCTTCTTGTACTTAAATTATGTCTTGGCCTTGGAGTTATTTCTTCATCACTATTACTTTCCATTTCCCAAGTGTCCATTTCCATTACAACAGCAGGTTCACTATCTGCTTGTAAGGGTTGAGAATTATCGGCACTTTCTTCTTGAGTGGTGCTTGTTTCTTGCTGAGAACCGCTCTTATCCGTTCCACTAGTGCAAGGTTTAGATTGGTTATCTGTTTCTTGCTCTTTAATATCTAAATTATTACTACTATTATTTTCTGGATCAGAATTCATACAACTTTCATGTATAGCAGTGTCCATTACTTCCACATTATCTAATTGCGGATTCTCCTGTATGCACTGTAACGTTGTTGTTGCTGAGGATGATGATGATGATGATGGCTTAACTGTCTGAAAGTAAATTATTAATTTTTATATTGTGTCAAAAGTTTTACAAAATGCTATTATATCAATTTAATTAAACTATTTCTAAAACCTAATGACACAGTTCAATTAATAAGAAAATTCCATTTCCATTTCGTTCAAGATAAAATATTTGATAACATTCTAATGTTATATTTAAGATTTTTATTTTACTAATTACATACAGGCAGACCTTATGGCAGGAACTTGTTCATAACTTAAGTCTCTCTTTAAATTGAATTTGTAGGAAAGTCACAACATGTATACAGTTGGCCATCAGTTAGTTAAATGTTTGTCTTAGTATATAGTTTATATTTTAACTCTATGCATATAAAATACTTCCAAATACACTAAAGCATCTTGAACATAACAATACAGTACATAATAATAATAAACTTTGTGGTTAACTACACCTATAACACTATACTTATGAAATTCAAAATCATATATAAACACAGTGTTTGTGGCACCTGTGCCATAAAGTCATGCCACAGACACTGTGTTTATACATGATTTTGAATTCCATAAGTATAGTGTTATAGGTATAATCTAACCACAAAATACCATATGACAATTCATTTATAATTAGCGATTATATTATAAACTAAATGCATAATACACTAGTATTATTAAAGATATAATTGTCTTTAAAGAAAAATTGTCTTTATAGCAACTCATTTAAAGTACAACTTGTCTATAAATCAGACATTTGTAACTCACGACTGCTTGTATAAAAAATTATAATCCATTGTAAAACTAAAATATAAAATACAATCTTTTTTTTTAATGTTTAAAATTGGTTTTAGTCTAAAAAGAACTATTTTTTTGATGTTTACAATATATAAATTACATCCATAAATAAAAACTAATGTACTATGAATGTATGTCACTTTAAGAAGTGTCTAACCTGAAAGCTGTAATGATAGTATACTAAACTTAATTTCAGATTAGAGACATACAGGTAACCCCCGTATAACACGGCACTTCTATAGCACGGATTCGCTCTAACACGGTTCGAGAATTGGTACCATCCCCCGTATAACACGGTACTTTTATAGCACGGATTCACTCTGACACGGTTCGAGAATTGGGTAAAACCCTCGTACAACAGGAAATGTAATAAATTTTTACATACTTAAGTAATAATAGTTCACGAAAATTATTATTTTCGTGAACTATTAGTACTTAAGTATGTAAATTTTCTCTTCTCGCCTTCTGTCGATACACGTGGTCCTTCTCGAAACTTGTTTCAATGTTGCCAGATCGCGACGCTTCTGCTTCTGATGTTGCCGAATGTTTTCCCCTTATTCCATACTTGCTTTATTCTTCATAAGTACTTTGCACCATATAAGGAAATTTATAAAGACCTTTTAACTAGAAGCAAGCAATCTAAATTACATACTTTTTGCAAAAGGTAAAGCATGGATCTGAAGATAATGCAGAAAAATGCTCAGAGGATAAGGATACCTTGCCAAAAAGAAAACGCTCTCGGTTAATTAATAGTGTTTTTAGTGATGACGAAGAAAACATTGTTTAATTTATATTAATATGTATCACTTAAAAAATTTTTATGAATATATTTATCTTAATTATAATAATATACTAGTATGTTTTTTAATTTTTGGATCCAAACCCTCCTTTTCGTATTAGTTCTTTGTTTCGTATAACACGGATTCGCATAACACGGCAATTTTTTGGAACGTAACTCCCGTGTTATACGGGGGTTACCTGTACATTCATAGTATGTAATAACATCTACCATAAGTGATATTTATAAAAACTAATGATTTTTTAAAATTTATATTATACTTGACAATCAATTTTAATGTATCATAATTAATTGGAAATTTTTTAGATATATTATTTCTTTAAGTAATTCATTTGTACATTTTACCTATCTATCTTCAGAAACTATGTGAATATTCTAATTTCATATTAGAACAAATTTCTCATTTTTAAATTCCTACCAGTAATCTATAACTTATTCTGAAACATTAAATAATTTCAAAATCTCACTATTCGATTGATATTTACCTCCTTACAAATACTTCATCTCAAATGATAATTCATAGCATGATTAGTACAGTAGAGTATCGTTTATACGAAAGCCGGTCAACCGAATGAGTTCCAGTTGGCAAATTTTAATTTCCGTTAGTGCCGTGGCGCTGCAACCTTTGGCTACGTCTTGGGCTACACCTATATTTTTTTTGTTAGTGTGTGTGTTTTAGCTGGCAGCACTGGCACTTTTGTATGGTGTTTTTCTGAGGACTGTGTCGTGCTGAATTGAACATTTTTGATACTAGATTAACTTCTAAAGTATAATTTTTCTTTTGGTTTTATATTTTTCAATACATTTACTTTGTACGAAATAAAAAAAATTTTAATGATACAATAGCCACAATTATTATTATAAAAATTTTCGTTAGGCTTAACATCGATGAAAATTCAACGCAAAGCGACATGCAACAGAGAAAAATTTCAACATGGGATAGATTAATACATTTTTTTGTACATAATCAGTTATCCGAACAACCCCAGTCCCCAATTAATTCGGATAAACGATGATCTACTGTATAAATAAAGATTTTACACTAGCCAGAGTTTAGAATTAAATTTTGTTTTTGTTCTTGCTTCTTTCAGTTTTATTTTATCTATTAAATGATTGTTTTATTAATGTAACAGATTCTAAAACAAACAATTTTTCCCGAACAAAAATGATTAAATTATAAAAATTTACTGACAATATCTTTTAATAATTGAATGATGTAAAGACCTTTGTTTTTTTCTACAAATAAATTTTAGAAAACTTATATTTAAAATTTAACATATTATACTAAACAATAAACTTTTCTTTTTTATATTTAAACTTGCTAGGGTTATGTTAAGAAAACATCAAACAGGTTCAAAAACTATATATGCTTCCATTAATTGGTAATCATATACACCAAATACTTGCTCTGTTGGAGTGTCAATGAATTTCATTGCTTTTCCTCACCCTCTCTTAAAGAAATCAGTTTTTTATGTATCATTGTACAGACTTGTTCCATTGCATTTTACAGAAATATTTGTTAGGTTAAAAACATCTATCAATTGGTGAAATTAGTAATTTTTAGTAGAGCAATCAGTAACAAAATAATTTAAGTGATATATTTCAAGACACCACGATTATATTTGAAATCAACATTGAAAGTAAATGGAAAATAAGATTTTTTTAAAATATTTATAAAACCTAATGATGTGCGAATTTTGAATTATAAGTGTGAGAATCAGACCTCAACATAAACAAATTAATATCATAATATCAACTTTGTCAACTATCTGTCAACTTTTACACCTGGGAATACATCATCTTTTTAGCTCCCAGTATCCATAAAGACACTTTCTTGTGACTTTCTGACCTGCTGTCCCGATTTCGTCATTTTAATATAACAACTAGCAACCAACACAGCTCAGTTGTTCTCTTGTAATCAAACTTGGATTATTCATCTGTGTGCTCCTGTGTAAAATCATTTGGATATTATCTTCAGATATCTCAGCTCCCTCATTCCTTGTTCACTCCTCTCAATGGTGATGAGAACTCAAAGTTACGGACTAATTTAACAAGATCCAAATGGACATAAAAGAACAACTTTTGCTAACTTACAAACATCAGATTATGAAGTATTTATCCTCCATGCACTCAAATGTAAACTCTCTCTCGCACGACCCTACCTACATAGTTGTTTCGATATATTTATCATAAACCTTTTTTCCTCTTTTTTCAAATAAACAGTTATTTGTTTATTTAACTGGAATCTGAGTGAGTCACTTCCAACCTGCTGTCTTGCGGTCTCCATCACAAATCTGATTGCCCACGCACATGGCCGCTCATGTGACCTACTTTTAAACCAAACCCCGCCATTGTGGCTTCCAGGTCAACGAGACTTAGTGGTGTTAGTCCTGACTAGGCATCAAGCAGGTGCCAACTCTCCAATGACATAAGTGATAAAGTAAATTATCAATATTTATGGGTTGTGTCATTACACTGATTAAACAGTATAATGACATCACTTAGCCAGATTCACATCATTATTTCAATTACATGTTCTTAATAATTAAATTGTTTTATTAATTTACTATTTCCAAAACTGAAGTAATTGAATGTAAAGTTAAATGTGTTGTATTTTTATCTCCCATGATGTCAGATAAGTTTGCTAAAATAAACTTTTAAGTTCAAATGAAAAAATTTGTGGACTTTTGCAGAATTTCCTATAAAATAGAATGTCACAGATTTGTGAGAAATGATATAAATAAAAGAGAAAATAAATTTCCGAAGGCAAAGTTGAAAGAAAAGGAGACTAAATTCAACAACCCTACAAATTCAAACACAAATATGTTTATATGTCTACAAAGACCTCATATAGATACTATTGTGCCACAAACAAAAAACATTTTCTTTTTTATTTATATGATAAAACCTAAATAGGTTAATATAAAAACATACATACATACGTATTACATGTATGTGTAATTTATCAGAGTTTAAAAAATTTGAACAAATACAGTAGAGCGTCGTTTATCCGAATCAATTGGGGACTGGGGTTGTTCGGAAAATCGACATTTCGGATAACCGATTATGTACAAAAAGATATTAACCTATCCCACGTTGAAATTTTTCTCCGTTGCGTGTCGCTTCGCATTGAATTTTCGTCGATGTTAAGCCTAACAAAGACTATTGTATCGTTAAAAATTATTTTTTTATTTTGTACAATCAAAAATATATTGAAAAATATAAAAACAATAAAAAATTATACTTCATAAGTTAATTTAGTATCAAAAACATAAAATATTTGAGTAGCCCAAGACATAGCGAAAGATTGCAGCGCCACAGCACTGGCAAAAATTTAAATTCGCTGACTGGAATTCTTTCGGATAATTGACTTTCGGATAAACGACACTCTACTGTAAAATTCTAAACTTAAAAATGTACTTTCAAAATGAATTTATGATTTTAAATCTTACTTAATAATTTATGGTACAAAATTTTAATAAAAATATAAAAAATTTTCATTTCCTGAATAAAAGTTTATATTAAATTGCAATTTTAAATGATTCTTTTGAAATCTAAGAAATACACAATAGCATTTTTTGGTAAATCTAAAAACCTTATGCTGTTCATGTTTTGAATATTTCCATTTCATCACGACCTTACAAAGAAAACACAACATAAACTTTTGAAAATTTTCCTCTGATTGATATTTAAAATAATTTTTGTTTTCTTCGTAAATTTCTGATAATGGAGTTAGAAATCTCAATATTTTTTATGGAATAATTATATTTTTATCTAAAGTTGTCATTAATGTCTAGCTTAATTTGAAACATTTATTATTAATTCACAAGAAACTTTGATTGCATTTAAGCACCTTTATTGTAATCATACAATAAAGGTGATACATTGCAGAGCACATTTAAAATCAATTAAATTTACTACAATTAGTGAATTAAGTACTTACAGTAACCGAAGAACTGTCTGAAGTTGAATGTTGGTTAATTTGACTGCTTGAGGGAACATTATATGATCCTTCTGGAACAAGAGGCAAATCTAATCCTTGTGCTTGACTCTTAACATCCATGGTAATTAAACCACTGTTAACTCCTTGTCCACTAAAATGTAGGTTCACCATAGGTTCTATTTTATGTCTATGTGAAAAGGTATTTTAATAATTACTTTTTGTAATAAGTGATAAATTTTTATGATATTGGATTAGTAATTATTAAATAAATTCATTAAAACCTCTACACTTAATCTTACAATCAGCTGCTTTACAACCAGAGGAAAGGGAAAACTGAAAATTCAGTTCTGAGAATATATTTTTCAGATAAATGATTTAAATGATAAGGGAATAAAATAAACAAGAGAAATCTATGATGTTGATTAGAACATAAAAGCCTAGAAGACCTTAAATACAGATTACTGCAAATAATTTTGTAACTGTTTCCCTATTTACAGTAATTACCATAAATAAATAAATATGAGAATCTAAATAAAAAATATTTACTTTTAAAGTATAAGTTTAATCATCAAACACAAACAAATCAAGATAAAAGGATTAATATTAAATTTTTTGAACTTTATATGAAATCTCAGCAAGAAAAAAATATAATTTATAATTACTACATCTTTTGAAATAAATAAAAACATTTCTTTTGCATAAATTGATTACAGGAAATTCTCTAATTCCAGATTCTTCCTATAAATCTAAAGGAACAGTTGCAATCTTATGACCATTTTATTTATTTTGTTTTAGCAATTTATGTAAAATGATTTTCTCCCTCTAGTGTTTGTGATCAAACAATATTTCTTTATTATTCTAAACATTTTATGATTGATGATGTTTCTTGTTGTGATAAAACTGTAAAGATTTGAATATTGTTTTTATTTAATTTAGAAAAATTCTAAAAAATCCTGAACAGATTATTAAAGTGTATTAAATTTCAATAATATAATTTTTGAAGTCATTTTGCTGTTTAAATATTTCTTCAATCTTGCTTCTACTTCATAAAAATATTTATCATTAAAAAGGCAAAAAAAGTTAATTTTCTGATATTTCTTTTCTGATTTTTTAAAATCAGAAGAAATATCTTAAGTAATGTCTTATATACTTTACTTTTGTAAAAATAATAATAAACAAGCAATAGAACAATTAAAAACATTGTACATTTGAAATAAAATCTAACAAAACAAAATTCTAAAAATTTGACAGTTTTTCCATGCATCTAATACATCTTAACATAAAAACAATAAAAATAACTTACTTTTCGATTAAATCTTTCCTTCTATTTGATAATTCATGCTCTAAATCCTGTAAACTTTCTTCTATTGCCTCTTTCTCAAGTTTATGTTCTTCATTTACTACAGTCATAGAAATTGCAGATGACGAATGACTAGATGAATCAATTTCGGTGGACGGGTTATTAACTGATAATTGTTGATCAGATTGCATTTCAGCAGGCTCTTCATCCTGTTTAGATTCATTATTGCTGTTTTCTGAAATATTTACAGTGGTTGTATTTGAAGCTTCTACATTGTTATTTGTCTCTCTTCTGTCAGATTCAGAATCTAAAAATAATTTAAAGCATAAAAGCAAAAATAATTATCATCATAAGTGTGATTAAATATTTACATATTTTTAATTATTTTTGGGTGGCAATTTGAAAAAATTGTAGACCTATAAATTCCCACTATAATCTGCAACAAGCTTCTGATGCAAACTGAAAGTCACATTATTTCAATTAAAAAGTTTTCCCCTGAAAGGATAGATAGATAAACAGCATGACTATTCCAACAGGAACAGTATGATGTACGGGGGCAAGCAACTAATTTGAGATGGAGAGCATATATTTTATATTAAATAAATTAAAAATATGTATAAAAATTGCAGCCTGGAATTGTGACACTGTCAGAATAAATATCTGCTCATTCTCATTTTAGATTTAAACATACTATTTAAGTAAAAATATTAATTTTTAATTATTATTCCTTACTTTCTTGATTAGCAGACTGTAATTGCTGACTATTATCATCTTGTTCTATATCATCATCAGAAGAACTATCCCCATCACTAGCTGCATGAGACGATGTTCCAGAAGAATGCGAAGACATAGATGGTGACATAGCTGACTGTCGTTGCATTCTAGATGGACTATTAAACATACGAGTTAGAACATCAGACATTCGTTGCATCAAACTAGCATGGAGGGATCTGGACTGCTGTTGGCCAGTAGCTGTTGAAATGTTCGGATTGGCTTGATAGATTACAAGACAAAATTTATTATTTAGAAGAACTTTGTTAACAAAATTTTTTAATATAGTCAAAACTACAAAAATTATAAATTTTAGCAATACAAAAATGTAACAAAAGTAATTAAAAATGTAATATTTTGCTAATGATGTTATTATGTTGGATTTAATGGGTTATACTTGGTTGACACTGGTTGCTGTATGCTATGCCAAACCAAAACAAGACAAAAATTAGAAGTGTCAGTGTGTGTGTATCTGTATTCAGGAATGTCCTAACAATATGACATGTATTCAATATAGTGGCCTTCTGTAGTGTGATGTGTGTGTTTCCATTCAACTGTAATGTTCACAGATTTTTTTGAATAGTGTGGGTAGTATGACACCTGTAGAGGAGAGAATAATAGATACAATAAGCACCCTATCCATTCTCCACAGATGCTTTATTTCCCAGGTGCGTTCTGTGTACTTGCCAATTTTTTTTTAGTGCTTGAGTTTTGTACATTGTGAGTGTTTGGAATGGATATTCTATATGTGATTTTATTGAGTTTGTCAATGAATGTGATGTCTGGTATGATGTGGTATCTGCAATTATGGTTCTGATGTAGTACATTTTGTGCATGTTGTTTTCCAATACTGTTTGTGGAATGTATTTGTAGTATGGTTCATGGATGTCTAATAATTTGTGTTTCTTTGCAAGCTCTTAGTGTACTATATTTGCTACTTGATTAAGTCTATGTAAATAATCTCTCTGTGCCAAGAGCTTGCAACCAGAAGTCACATCATTCCAGAAACTATACAACACATCAAATTTTCTGAATGTGTCATTTGTGAAAGTTGCATCTTTGAGTATGTTTTCTGTAGTTTTTAGTATTTATGATCTGATCTTGTATGGCAATCATAAAAACAAAAATAATTATCATCATAAGTGTGATTAAATATTTACATATTTTTAATTATTTTTGGGTGGCAATTTGAAAAAATTGTAGACTTATAAATTCCCACTATAATCTGCAACAAGCTTATGATGCAAACTGAAAGTCACATTATTTCAATTCCATCTCCCCGAAGAGGCATCCCTGAGCTAACCAGCTTTTGACACAGTTTTGTCAATAAAATCATGGGCCAGGCCATAGGGATGTCTGCCATGGAGTGCCTTTCGAGCCCACGATTGCTCAATGATGTCTATGCTTTTTATATGTTGTGACTAAGTTTAATGGTGTGTTATTTGAGTCTGTTAGGGTTACTGCTTTATGTAACTGTTATGTTTCTTGTATTTTGTAGAAAAACTCTCATAACGTCTATATTTGTTTGTAGTACTATGTCAATCAGGCCATATCTGCCATCTTTACGTGGAAGGGTTAATATTTCTATGGCAGATTTAGGATGATGTTGTTTATGCTTAGTAAGTATTGTTCTTGTTTTCTTTTGAAGTTGTTCAAGATCCGTGTGAGTACAATCTATAACTCCAAAAGAATACGTGAGTACTGGGATGACATATGTGTTTTGCATTTAACTATGTTCTGAGAATAGCATTTAACCTACTTTGGTATTCTTTAATCAATGTGCAACGTTCATTGAGTCATGTGATGTTGCAAACATGTGCCGCAACGATTTTTTCTTGGAGTTAAAACGTAAACCATGTACAGTATAAGTAACGTTTGAACCTGTGCCGCAACCTCTCTAATATAAAGGTTAACATCCTTATAAAATCAAACTTAGTTGGGCAAGAAGAAATTTTAGCATGATAGAAACATGTTATGCCTAGGGTAACCTTGTACATGTGCATGCATGCCAGTAAAATAAATGGTTATCATAAATTCATCTAAAACTTATCTAATGAGAGTGAAGTCATGCAATGGTGCATTTGTTTTCCAGCTAACTTTAACCTGTGAAAAGTTAAATAAGTAAATATAACAAATTTTTTCCTCTCCAAGTGTGACAAAACAATGCTGAGTTGCCTTTGATGACTGAAGAATGAATCAGATTATCCAGATGATCTGATTCATTCCCCAGAGATGCATTCACATGACATTGAAAAGTTACAAAGGGACTGATCAGTCAAACATAAGCCATGATCTAAGTATTACCTGAATGTATCTCCACAAACAATAATATGGATTTGTTTTTTCACTAGATTAGAGGCTTTTCAGCACTGTTTGTATCATATCTGGGAAAAAAGTGGTCAGATTCATTTCTTCATAATTTTCCACAGATTAAATTTAGATGGAAAACAATTACACTATTACATTTTTGTAAACATTCTAGGCTTATTTCATGTATCATATGATCTGTTTGCATTTAAAAATTTTGAGATGAATTTAAGATGGCAGCCATCTGACCCATCTGTACAGTACACTGATTAAAGTATACCCTCTGTAGGATTGAAATAAATCAATCAATGTCATGTAAAATTAAAAACTTGCATATTTTCTTTTTGATTTATTTATAATTGGGTTGTTCAGAAAGTAAGTTTGTTTTTTTACCATTAGACGGATTAGTCGTATTTTTCCCACCATTTTCATTCTAAACCGTATTATCTTATCATTATATATTTTGACAGCTAGCATTTTAAAGCTTATTTGTAAAAAATTTTGTTTGATTTTGTGCAATTGCTTATTTTTTGTGTCCCATCAAATATGGAAGATCGAAAGCAGCATTTTCAGCATATTTTGCTCTTTTATTACCGAAAAGGTAAGAATGCTGTTCAAGCGAGAAAAAAATTGTGTAACCTGTATGGAGATGATGTATTGACAGAACGACAGTGCCAAAACTGGTTTACAAAATTTCATTCTGGCAATTTCACTATTGAAGTTGCACCACATTCTGAATGGCCAGTTGAAGCGAATGAAAACAAAATAAAGGTACTGATTGAAGCAAACTGCTGAATAATAACATGTGAAATCACTAAGAGATTAAATTTGTCAAATTGAACTGTTATGATCACTTGAAACAAATTGGTTTCGTTTCAAAGCTCGATATATGGATTCCACATGTTCTTAAAGAGAGATGCTCCCTTTGCTGGGATTTTAAGGAAATTTTTTTTGGAGCTTTTACCAGACAATTTAACAATTGATTCGAAAGTGTAAAAAAAATTGAATCGAGTAAACAAATTGAGTAATATCATCAAACAGAAAAGGCAGCCAGAATTGATCAACAAAACAAGTTTGGTGCTTTACCACAATAATGTCAAATTTCTCACAAGTTTGGTAACTTGTCAGAAACTGTTATAACTTACAAGTTAGATGGGACGTGCTATCACACCAACCATATTTGCCAGATCGAGCACACTCAGATTATTACTTGTTCTGGTCTATACAAATTTTTTTTAACTGTAAGACATTTACTTGAAATGATAATGTCAAAAATCACTTGGATCAGTTTTTTGTAAGCAACAATCAAAACTTTTATGAATGTGAAATCGTGCTACTACCAGAAATGATAACAACAGGTATTTGACCAAAATGGTCGATATATAATTCAATAAAATATTTATTTATTTATTATAAAAATATTGTGTTTTTTTCCACGGAAAAAAAAACAAACTTACTTTCCGAACAACCCAATACATAAATTTTTTTTAAACTAACCATAATAATATACTTTTCCAATAAAATGCAAAGATTGAAGAGAATTGTCATCTTATCATTTATTTATGTCAATCACATAAATTATTAAAACTTTAGTATGTCTTATTAATATTCTACCTCATCTCCATATCCTGAAATGTTAGCATACAAAATTCTTTTCTATTTAGACTAATATATCTGGAGTGAAATATAGCAAAGTATCACTATTCAATGCTGATGTAATGTATAGATAGAACAGTTGTAAGTGTTTATGAATAGGGTGGTCATAATTATACACACACATACACAACTTTAATTTATAAAAATATAAATATAATCATATATGTTCTAATATTGCAAAAAATATTAATAAAAATTACCTCTCATTTCACTTTCAGGTCTTGCATTAGGTCCAGTATCTGACCAATCACCTCTAACACGTAATCTTTTCATGACAGGTTTACCACCAGGTAATTTTGAGGTTCCCTAAGAAAATATCTATTTTGAATACTGCAATGAAAATATACAAATATAAATAAAAAAGATTATACATATTTGCTTTTAGGAGCTAATATATTAGAATTTATTGATGTTCTATCATATTTTGGGACCCTTTATGAGTATAGATATTTAATCCATTGACACAAATTAGGGAATCCCCACAGAGCTTCCTTCTCAATTTGTACTTATACGCATTCGAACAGTTCTATCGCGTATCAAATTGCAATTATTTTGTTAATCTTTTGACATGGGTCTAAGTAAAATTAATGATATTTTAACTTGGTTAGGATTTAAATCTGAAGCTTAAAGACGATTCGAGTAGTGAAACAGACATTGACGGTACTGATTTGTTTAATGAAATCAATACCTTAAAGTTGCATTTTCCAGAAAACAAGTCTAATGATTCACAAACCTTATACATTATCTTTTTACTAATGACTTAATTAAAATATTTTCGAACACAGCAATAGCACTTACATTGCCAGTTTCAGTTGCATTTGGTGAAGGGTCCTTTTCAAAGTTAAAATTATGAAAAAACAATTTTAAGATCAACAATGCACCAGCAAAGATTAAGTAATTTAGCTATATTTTCAATTGAACATGAAATCTTAGACTGGTTGGATACAGGAAAATTGAAAGCAGATTTCGCAAACATAAAGGCAAAAGAAGTTTAATTTCTATAGAAAAATATTTATATGGTTTTACACTTAAGTAAACAAAAATAACTTAGTAATAATAAATAAATTTTTTTGTAAAGTTTTTTTTTTTTCCTTTTTTCACACCCTTATGAGACAACACTAAAGAGCCTTTCTGGCAAGCTCAGCGTAGGTAATCGTAGTTAAACAGGGGGCGGCATAATCGGTATTGCACACGGGCGCTCAAACTGCTAGCGGCGCCCCTGCTTGCTTGGTATATATTGTCTAAATCCCAGTCTGCCTTTCCATAACGTAAGACTTTTGTCTACAGACATTTTCATCTGGGATGTAAGCATATTTGAACCTGTGGCGTAAATGATCGATAACACTGCATAATTTATGTAGTTTATCATCACCACCTGAGGCTTGATTATTGTCTGTAAAATGCAAAAATGACAATAAAAGCAGAAAGCAGTTGCTCGACATTGCACTCGAAAAAAATGGTGTAGAAAAAACATCTTCAATTGTAAAGTACATACTTATGCATTGTTTTCTAATGATACTTGAGACCATTATAAGTCCTATAAATTTTCTAATTTCTGGATTTGTTGTCGGTTTCCAGTTTTTTTATATATGACTATTTTCCCGTAAATTGTCACAGCGCATCAAACCATCACCATATCTGTTAGTTTCTTCAACGATTTTGTCCACAAGTTCATCATCGAAAAACACACTAAAGCAGTCGAATGGTGTAGCATCACTCTGTAAATTACATTGGATTCCTGCTTGTCCCGTGAAACTGTTTACTCGAGGGCTTCTGAAGTTCATACAGATCCAACCATTGTCACTACTAAATTATGGACATTTTGCACTATTATTTCCTCGAGTACTATCGTATGATCGGCCTCTGTATCCACTTTTAGTTGGTATATCACGATCAATATCACCACTACCATCACTTACATTTTCATTTTGTATCTACTCGTCATTGCTGTCTGAAATTTCAGACTAATTAAAACCTAAATTAAATAAATATTCGATTATTTCTGACTTATTCAGAGCACTATTTCTACCAGTCGTTGCCATCTCAAAACAGACAAATTAACGGTCTACTTTTCTTTGTGATTTCTTGTAAATAACTATTGCTAGAATTGTAATATACTGCTGTGCAAAACCTAGATAACATAATGATTCTTTTGATATGAGTCACTAATTTCAGAATTCTGTACAAGTAGCAACATCTGATGTTTAAAAAATATTCCGATGCAGAAATGAATATGTTCATGGTCAACGGGTCAGGTCAAATGAGGTCAACATGAAAATATTTGGGAACAACATGGGACAGGTTAATTATTATTGTTTGATTTGATTAGTGCCTTAACTCCATTGTCGGCCCATGTATCGCACAATATCAACAGTTTAACATTTCAGCAAATTTTTAATACACCTTTTCCACTTAGGAAAGTCAAATCACGGTTAAATTTATCCTAACTGGTGTCAGGACTCTCAGAGAAAGATTTCTCCAATATTTCTTCCTACATTTTTCATCCTGAATGTGGAACAGTGTTATACCAGCATTCCTGGTTCTCACAAATATTAATTATTGTTCAATAGCTGTATTTTGGACCTATCTAATCAATGTTTATAAATAAAAATATGTTATTTAGCATTTTAAATTATTACATAAACTGAAGAGTTTTCTGGTGCATTAAATCAAACACAGATAATGAGTTATTGGAAAGTTATATCAAAGTATATATAAAGTACAATGGAACCTCGCTTAATGAGCACCTTTCATAAGTAATTTGCATAATGAGCAACGAGAAGAGGGGAAGTCCCAGATTGTGCACATGCTACATTAGTCTGTGTTTAGCATTCATTCTGCTATCATTTTAGTGTCACTTATGATCACACATTTTTTTCAAACTTGTATTCAGACGTATTACATATAAATAACAACAACCATAGCCCGATATATAATAAACACGCCAAACAATATGTCAAACTCTTGGGCTATGCAAAGGCTATAATTAAATATTAGAAATTACTGTGTTTCAATTTTTTTTTTGTTTTCTACAAATTGAATTTGCATTCTAGGTTGGTTCATTCTGCTCTAGAAGAAAAGATGATGATTATTCACACTCCTTAACAATGTATATTATTTAATTTTCTTTGAATAAATGTTATACATAAAATATTTGAGTATTTTTTTCAGCATGGAATGCATTAACATATTTTACATTAATTTATATGAGAAAAAACTGTCTTGTTTAACGAGTGTTTCACATTACCAGTAAGATTCTGGAACAAATTATGATCGTTAAGTGATGTTCCACTGTATAACAAGTTTAAGTGAATTTTAATATTTTTATCATATTTTTCTCAACAAATATAACTATTATTTTCCAACCTTAACATCTAATTATTTTGTATTTTTTTTAAAATCAAATACCTATTATTAGTGATGTTGATAATCAATATACAGTAGAGCATCAATTATCCGACCCCCGATTAACCGTCACATTGGTTAACCGACTGTTCTAGTCGGCAAATTTCAAATGTCCGCTACTGATGTGGCATTACAATATTTGGCTATGTCTTTGCTACTTTAATATTATTTTTCTTAAATTTTTGCATGTTTTAGCTGGAAACAGGCTCGACTATTGAAGGGAGGCCAGTATTTAAACGAGACTTAATTTTCTAATAATGAATGGTTGTTCATTTTGTGAGCAATAAAATAATTTTAAAATAATTTTTAACGATACAATAGCAACGATTATTATTAAAAAAAAAATTTGTTAGGCTTAACATCGATGAAAATTCAACGCAAAGTTGGTTAATAGTGATATACTAATATACTAATTATATGGGATATACTAATATAATATACTAATAATATATTTTTTTCGGTTATCCAATTTTTTCAGTTATCCGACCAATCTGAGTCCCTGCTGTATCGTTCAGTTGACCAAACTCAACCTAATCTATATAGCAGGACTAGGAGATATAGACGAGCAGGATATTGAGGAGTTACAGGAGGTTTCAATGACTTAATTTTTTATCTATTACAAACACATTTAAAAAAACAGGTGTTTTGCATTATAATATAAAAATAAATGCAAAAAAAGTATCTTAAAAAATATATAATGAATAAATACCTAACTTTTTCAAACTTAATCATTATATTATAATCAATACAGTGAATGTTTTGTTACTAATGAATACATATATTGTTAATCAGCATGAAATACAAAAATTCTGAAATTCTTACACAATAATCTTAAGATATAAAAACTTCATACTTCATTTCCATTATCTTTTTCTGCTGCTGCAGCACCAAATACTTTAGGTTCCTTTCTACAGTCATCCTAATTATAAAAAAAATATTTTATATTCAAAATACATATTATTCAGAAAGGTATATAAAAATTTATCACAATGTTTAGTTGTATTCTTAAAAAACATTCTTAATTACTATTACTATTGGGTGATTATAATTAATGTACTGTATTCCCATTCAATGCTGTCTAAAAGATATTTAGCAGTTGAAATACAATCAAATCTGGTATTATACCAGATTTGATTTCAAATCACAGAAAAGACACAAATTTTATACAAAAAAAATTTGTACCAAAGCTCACCACTATGCAGTTTCCTTTGCATACACCATACATTGCAACCAAGTACAAGGTATAAAAGTGACCACTACAGTTGAATGTCATTCTTATCATAACTGATGATCATGCACTTCTTGTAAAATTGTTTTATGAAAACAATCACAATGATGTAGATGCATTTCAGTAATTTTGCAGTTATAAGAATGTGCACTGAAGATTATTGACTAAGTTCTCAGGAGATTGATCACTTAATTTGAAGAAAATGGATGTATAGGAGTTCAACATAGTTGAGGTCACAAATCTATCACTTCACAATTACCACAACTATTGTTGAACAGTCAATGTATAATGTTGCAAGCTCTAGTAATGCATGTGCAATGTTGAAACATTTGGGTGTTTCCAATAGCCTACTGAAAAAATTAATGCATTATTATACATGTAAGTTGATCCACAACTAGCAATTGATTCTCTATGACAGAGAAACCCAATTTACTTGCATTGGCCTTCCTCTCCAGAAGGAAAGTGAAGGTATTGCAACCATAGAAGATTCTGGAGAATGATGAGGCACATTTTCATCTCAATGGAACAATGAACACTTATAAATGTTGCATTTGGGCCATGGAAAACAATCTTTTTCAGCAGATTCATGCACTCACCAAAAATTACAGTCTGCTATAGATTCATAGCTATAGTTTTTTTTTTTTAATCATTCTTCTTTAAAGAAGCTAGTCTTAATGGGCTTGTGATATGCTCTGTAACAGATGCTGCCTATGGCAATTTCTATGTTAACAGTGGAATGTTGTTAAAATATTTTCTACTACCAGCCACTTTGTTGTCTGAATTTTAATTTGCAATTTTGATTGTGGGGAAACTTAAAAAGTGCGACTATTGAGGATACATTGCAAATTTGGCAATCTTGAAAGAGTATCACACTCCAAGTAAGAAGTATTACAGATGATCAATGACTGGTCATTGGTCAACCTTTCACAGCTTCAAGTTTCACACTTTTAGAATGGGAACCACTTTGAGCAATATGTCCTGCATCACTGAATTTTCTGTAAAGAATAAAATGAAATGTTTTTTCTTGCAGCACCAAAAGTATCACAGTGATAAATTTTAGTACAGTACCAACTTTTTTTTACAGAAATTTCTTCTACACACCCTGAATGTTTGCCATACCAGATTTGGTTGTATTTGAACTGCTAAATATCTCTCTAGATAATTAAAGTAATTAAAGTTCAACCCTACCATTACTCAGTATTTTACATATTACATATACAGTAAGACCCTGCTTAATGCTGCCTCGCTTAACACTGATTCGATATAATGCGGTCTGCTCGAAGCCTAAAAAAAGCTCAAAATTTACACCGATTTAAATTATTGCGGCATTTCAATGATTCGTATATAATACAATTATTTGCAAATATAAACCAATCAGCAAAAAGTGGCAGAAATAGTGGTACTTTCTTTATATCTATGTTTGGTGCAATTTTGAAAAAAATATAATATTATGGATATCATAGGCAAAATCGACTTCGCTTGGCAAGAATTAACTGATAAATGCATAAAGTGTGGAAGAAGTTATGGCTGAAGGTATCCAAGAATTCTCAATGAAAAAAGCCTATTGCTGTATCGTTCAGTTGACCAAACTCAACCTAATCTATATAGCAGGACTAGGAGATATAGACGAGCAGGATATTGAGGAGTTACAGGAGGTTTCTGGTGAGAGCCTTACCAACAATGACCTTCAAGAACTGGCAGAACATGGAATTCATGTAGAACTGGAAAATAGATATTCTGAAAACGAAGAAACCAAAAAAATTTCTCTACAGATTTCCTTAGTAAAAGTTTGGTAACAATAACTGAAATAGTTGATCAAATTGTAGTGAATTATCCAGATTTTGAAAGGAGTGAAAAACAAAACGAGGCGTTTTGGATGCAATCTTCTGCTACCGACATTTTCTTAAGGAAAGAAAAAAGCGACAATGAAACTTCACGACTTTATTGCAAAAGAACACCAATTTCAGAAAAGTAAGGACCTTCATCACAAAAAATGAACTTTACATTTATGTGTGCATATATTTGTGTTTTATTTAACATATATTATTATACAAATTAACATAAAAATAACTTAAAATTAAAGTAAAATTTGTTTATTTTTGGTCACATGTTCCCCTATCCCTATTCACTCTATGTTAAAATGACCTCATTTAACACTGTTTTGCTTAGCACTGCCATCTAGAAACGCATCCTGTTGTCTTACTGTATTAATCAGTTTTCAAATAAATTGTTTACAATAAAATTAATTATATAAAAATCATTTAATATTATATTTCTTTAAATTATAAAAAAAAAAAAAAATACAGTGGGTGATTGGTTAACAAACAGTTCGAAGAGCAAACAAATTAGATAATGAACACTTTCACGAAAGATTTTTTTATGATTGGACAAACGAACACTTTACTGAACAAACATAAAAAGAAGTGATAGAAAATAACGAATACCTATTCATTTTCCCTTGTCTTCAGGTAACAGTTCGAAACCTTTCAGAGTACGGGAGACATCAACATCGATGCTCAACCCAATACCAACCGGATAGTATTAATATTCCTTCAAATTTTGAAACTTTCCTTTGTAATTCCAGCTTTTTGTTTACCTTTCTGACCAAATAATTTTTTATAGTCTTCCTGAGACTGTTGGACAGGCACTTGTTAAGTTTTGCGTCGGGATTTATTTACAAAAGGTGAAAGTTTAACTGTCCCATCGGATATTCGTTCACATTTTAATACCAAATTTCATCCATGCCTTGCATTTAAATAATTTTTTGTGGGCTAGTTGATTTCTGTTCTCTGAATTTTAGTAAGTGCTTTTCTAAACCTTTTATTTAAAAAAGAAACTGGTATTATTATGGAGCCTAAAAAAAGGTGTCAAGAACTGTGCTCACCGTAGAAACCAAGTAAGAGATAATAGCCAAGGTAGAAAGTGGGCACAAGATGTCTGATGTTGCTAGGCAGTAGGGAGATGGCTTGAACAGGTCTACAGTAGGCACAATCTTAGCTATGAAAGATATATCAAGAAGTCTGAAGCTGCTAATGGAGTAATGAAAAATCACATATGAGAAATAAAGAGCATTTTAGAGCTCATAATGGAACCTGAAACTGATCTGACAAAAGAAGAAGTCCAGGGATGTCAGAACAATGATCACCCACGTGGCATCCAAACCAGAATAAGGTTAATGGGGTTCGGGATCTCTACAATTACAATACTTTTTATTTTTTGGAGTCTCCGGAACGAATTAATCAAATTCCCATAAAAACCTATGGTAAATCGTTAATCAGTTAATGAACAAAGTCTTGGAACAAATTATGTTCATTAACTGATCACCCACAGTATATAATTTAAACAAACTTAAAAAATTTTTTGAAGTTAATTTGTTAATTTATTTGTTTTAAATAAAGTTATTAGCTAATCATACTTAGTGAAGCTTTGATTAATTGAGTCAATATAAAGTATATTGTAATAGAGAATTTTAATAAAATCACTGTATAAAATCAAAAATCATTAATACCATGAAATAATTTTAAACAATAATATTCTCAAAAGTTCATAAACAAAAGAGGTATTTCAATATAACTTACTTTAACTTCAAACAGATAAATATAATCAGATGAATAACTAACAAGCATTTCCTCTCCATCTGGACTGTAAGTCAAAGATGTAATGCGATGACTGTGACCACCAAATTCCGGAACAGTAAAATGAGCTATCATTGCTTGTATGCCACTTCCACCATAATTACCTTTAAAAAAAATTTTTTTTTCAGTAATCTAAAAAATTAACTGAAGAATCTACCAGATTAATATTTAATGTATTTCATACAAATATAACTTTATTTAAAAATTAAAAAAATATTAAATTTCTTAATTAAAAAGAAAAATTTTTTTTATAAAACTTGAATTGAGTATTGTCTTATTTACCATTTAATAAGTAATTTTAATTTTTATAAAAATTCTCTTAATTAAAAATTTTTTTATCATTTGATTTTAAAAATATTGTACAGTCACTTCCCTATTTATGAACATTCAACTTATGAACTTTCTGATTTATGAACAATACAATCATGCCTAAAATTAAAATTTTGCATTGATACTGAAGTTCTCTTGCCACACATGGGGTGGCTTGAAGTTACTTTTTGGTCAGTAATATATAATAAATTTTTAATAATTAATTAATGTGGGCTTATTTTATTGTGTATCATCATTTTTCATGCAAATTCTGAGGTTCCATCACCGCTTGTGAGATGGCGTCAAAATTGGCAACATTGGAGTAATTTCACTATTGTTTTTCACTATTGTTGGCAATTTTTATAAACTTTTACAATTATTTCTTCAAACATGCCTCCAAAAATGTAATAGTAAATCTAGCAGTGAAGCTAAATTTCAAGAATTTACATAAATAATTCTACATAAGTTCAAAATAAATTTTTGAATTCTTACCTGTAGCACGAGTACCCAGCATCCTGCGATCGAATATTCGCACAGATCCATCAGCACATCCAATACCAAGCTGATATGGTGTCAATGGATTTACAGCAATTGAAGTTACTGCAATACGACTGTTAATAAGGACATCCTAAAATAATTACAGTTATTTTTTAAGATATTCATAAAATTTAATTATTTTCCAGAAATGAAAATACTATAAAACTCAGACTGAAATATTATTACAATAATTTTGAAACCAATATATTGAGTAAAAACTTTTACCCAGAGCAGTGAATTTAAATTCTAGTAAATTTTCTTTTTATGACAGGAAAATTTACATCAGATCTGTTTTAGCTTGTTTGGAAGAGGCTATTGTTACTTTTACATTTGTAACTTTTAAATATAATGATTGTACAGCCAAAAAGAATTTTTGAAATAAATTTTACCAAATTTTTCCATATAAAAATAGTTAATTATCAATATGTTGTTTCACAAGTTCCATGAAAAACATGTGCATATTTTTTAATTCTTACTAATAATTTTTTTTTATATTTATAGCTGAAACTGCTGCAACACATTTGACTTCATTCTAATTATAACAAAATAATAAAAGCCAAATATTTAAGAATTTGTAGGAAAGTAAGACAATAGTCTTAAAAAAACCTTTTTATTGAAATAAATCATTGACATCTACAAATTCTCAAACCGACAAAAACCAAATCCTTACTTATATTTAACATCTTTAATATTTAACAATAACATTTCAAATACTGTTTATGTCCCAATTTCTATTTTTCATTGAAAAGTAAAAATAATTTAATCATTCTTACTAATTTCCAAAAATTATATTTGGGTTGTTTGTGTATTTAAAGATGTGTTAAACGCTTGTGTAAAAAATTTAATTCTTAAGAATATAAATAATAACTTAAATCTATTTTCATTATACAGTGGTACCTCGGTATACATCTGCTTTAGAATACGTCCAATTTGGAATACGTCCTGTTTGGACGAACAAATTTTGCTCGGTATACGACTTTTGTTCGGTATACGACATAATTCAATTATATGCGCCATCAATGAACAAGTAGCACTATTGGTGTACTAGACCAGACTAGACGTTCGCGGTGCAACGGTTTATAACTTTGTTTAATTTCTTCTGATTTTAATTCGTAAGTAAAATTTTATTATTTTTATTAGTCACGAATCCCAAAAAGGTAAATGAAAAGTGACAGAAAGCTAAAAAATGACTAGAATTACAATGGAACTGATGAAAGAGATTGTTGAGAAATACGAAGGTGGCATGTGTGTTCGAGATTTTAACTGTTGTTTACCGTATTCCGAGAACGACGATATGGAGAACCATGAAAAATAAAGACATTATTAAATCTGCTAACGTTGCGAAAGGGGTTAAATCAATTTCTAAACAGAGATCAAAGACATTAGATCGTGTCGAGAAATTGCTTTTGCTTTGGATAACTGAAAAACAGTGCTGGAGACAGCGTATCGGAAGCAATTATTTGCACGAAAGCTAAAAAGATACACGCTGATCTCACGAAAAATCAAGCAGGAACTAGCCAGGAAAGCGAGGTGTTTAAAGCCAGCCATTTTTTTTACACGAGAACGGATTAATCATTTTTACGTTACTTCTTATGAGAAAGGTTGGTTTGGTATACGTCCAATTCGGTATAAGTCCAAACATCGGGAACGGATTAAGGTCGTATACTGAGGTTCCACTGTATTTTATAAATTTATACATGTCTAAATCAAAATAATATACAACTGTATAATCTTTAAAAAATTACCTCTTTACAATTTTCAGTACAACAACTAGTTTTCATACGTAAATCAAACCATCTAACAGTACCGTCTTCACCACATGACAAAAACGTATGTGGATCGTTGGGAACAGTCATTATTTCATAAGCAGTCCCAAAATGACAACTAAATAAATTACTCATACTTGATTCTGGATGATCCAAATTTGAAAATATAACTACACCATCACCAGAACAAGATACTACCTGTAAAAATTATATTTATATATTATGGGTAAATAAAATTTAATAATTAGAGTATAGAACTTAAAAAGCAGAAATTAACACTTTCAGCAAGAGCCACATGCAGCTCTTTTTTGAGCTGCATACGGCTCTTGAAGCCACATTTGCCCACATCTGGTATATTGTATATAGATTGTATGAATATGCTATATTCATACAATTATCATATTCATATGCTATGCTAAGATATCATACTTCTTTCTCAATTTTAAAAACTTTATTACTTACCTGCCTATCCATTGTGTTAGGCAGGAATTTGGCACTGAATATATTTGCACGATGGCCAGTTTGCACTGAAGCCACAACCTACAAATCAAATATACATTATTATTGAGCAAAAGAAAATATAATTAAGAAGTTAAATTAGTCAACCTCATGTGTGTATCCATTTGTTATACAAAGATGTTGATCATCAGATCCAGATAGTAGGTAATTACCATTGTCATTCCAACATATTGTGTTAACCTGTAATTAACAAATTTATTGTCTTTGTTCCAACTGACTTATAGGAATACACTTTTAAAAAATTGTTATTAATTTATTACACAAACATACTACTGGATTTTAATCAGATTATAATATGGTTAATTAATTATAAAGATGTTAAGAATATTCTGGAAAAAAAAACTGATCTAGAGTGGAACTCAAACCTGCAACTCCTAGGAGTTGCAGGTTTGAGTCTCATACCAGATCAAGTCCCCACAAGATATCAGTTTTAACTGCCTATCTTTAGTCTAAATTACATTAATACCTTTATAATTAATTAGCCATATTATATAGTTCAATTAAAATCTAATTACATCATTTATTATTATATTTTCAACTTAATTATTATAATTACATAAAAACCATTATTATATTAAATAAACATTATAACATAATAGTCTTACTTAGTTTAAAAACACTACTTTCATCTCTCAATTTAAAAAAGCTGAATGTTCACACATTATATAAAAAAAAACTTAGAAGAGTTTTAATTTGTCACATTTCTTATGTTGTTACTTGCTTTCACTCATTTTTGCTTAACCATTTACTGAGTGTAAAATTTTTTTTTTTACATTGATCTGTTTAGATCAGGCCTGGCCAACCCGCGGCCTGTCACGTTAAATTGCGTGGCCTGCTAAGCGATATTATATTGTGGCCGTCGGCCATAGTTTATATATATATATTTTTGTTAACTTTAGCTAGGCTCAGTATTTCCTTTGTTCTTTTGTCTTATCTGTTCTAGAACTTTCTCCCTTAATCCCTATTCCTTCGGGTGACATCACTGATTCTGTGAAACAAAGTCAAGAGACAAAAGGAACAACAAGCCCCTAGGGGAAAAAGGAAGTGGAAGCGAGGAGAAGAAACGGGGACTTCGTCGAGAGAGGACGGAGAAACGAGTGCGGTCCTGACCGAGGAGTCGAGCAAGGAGTGAGAGAAACCTTGCGAATGAATACCTTGATTGCCTAGAGAGAGATCAGAGGTGTCGGAACCTTGTAAGAGACGGCTGAATTATAGAGTAACGTAGGACCGTTGCTAAGAAGTCGCGTTTCTCCAGATTCAAGTAACAACAAGCAGGAAGACCACAAGACAACCCCAGAAAACGTAGACGTTCATAAAAGGAAAGAAATTAAGGTCTGGAGCCATTCAAAGATTCAAGATGGTGAATCATCCGAGACCACGTGGTAGAGAAAAATCCTGGGTATTTTCCCTTTTATTCTACTCCTATCCTTATCTATATGTTTATTTCTCCTTCCTTAGTTTGTAAGTAGATTAAGTTTTAGTTATAAGTCGCCACCATGTGTTTTGTTTCCGTTGCCACCACAGAAAATTGTTAGTGTAGATGATTATCTTATGTATATCGAACCCAATAGGCTGTAAGTTGGAATCATTTTAAAGAACATGTGTTTGTGAATAAAAATCTTTAGTATTCTTACTCGTTTTATTTGTTTCCTGTTCGCAATAATACATTGCCCTCAAACGAAACTTCACAATATATTTATTAAAACTTTTGTTTCCCGTTATGTATATACCAAAACAATTAAATAAATGAAAATTTGCATATGTCATTGTTATAACGCACAAGTGCGAGTACGAACTCTTGGTATAACAATAAAATCTTCTTCATTTTGTATTTGTTTTACTTTTTTAAAAGCATGTTTGCCTAAATTGTGGTCCACCATAATGTTATGCGTGATCAAAGTGGCCTGTGAAACAATTTGGGTTGTCCAGGCCTGACCTGGTTTAGATAATGATTCTTTATTTTCATTAATTAAATTAAAAAAGAATTTCAAGCTTTTTAAAATTACCTTTCAGGCACCAAGGCTTTCTTCATACCCACAATAGGACAAGCACAAACACAGAATCTAAGATATCAAGAATAAACCATCCATGAAAATTTCAGATCTGATCCAGACTTAAATCCAAATTCCCCAAAGTAGCAGACTTAAGGTACTAATATGTCAGCCAATCAGATGCCCAGGTAGATATAATAATTTGAAATTTCAAATAATTGTGTATCATCACTCTTAATACCTCATATTAAAACAATTATAATTGTAACAAATTTTTATTGTTTAATTCATGGTTCAAACACACTATGAACTACCAGATCCAATTTTCATCATTTTTGGGTAGGCCAGACATAAAATATCATTTAGCATTAATAAAGAATGGAAACATAGCTTAACCTGCATTACGGACCACTCAGAAAGTAGCCCAATTTTCAATTTTTCACATAATCTAGCAACCTTTCATGTGTATGGTCATTGACCATGCTACTGACAATAGTGAAAGATCTCAGTCATGCACATTATTTATAGCAATAATTCACAAATTAGAAAATGCATGTGCAGTACTTATGGCATCGAGGAATAAGGGAATAATGAGTCAAACAAAACTGACTCACAAGTGAAATTTTCCAACTCAGAATCTCCCAAAATTTCAGAATTCCTAGAAATTTGCAAGTAAGCACAAATCCTCTATCTATAATAAATTATAAAGATCCAGATTAAATTCAAATCTGGATCCTCATAGCAACAGAATAATGCCTTATTATATAACCATATGACTAGCAATAATATATTGCTTTTTTTCTAGGTTAACATCAATCCTCTGAAAAAATTAAAGCAATGAAGCAAGTCTTTACTCAGTAATTTAACTGGGATTCACACGCTTTCAAAGCTAAATGTTCCCACACAAGCTTCTGAGGATAAAATAATGAAATTCCAAAAAATGTTTAACTTTTGATTTATAAAAAGATATTGTAATACAGTTACTTTAGTTTCATTTTAAGAATGAAATGAAGTATTTTACATAGGGTGAATCAGATCAATTTTTACCAAACTAGATTAAATACTGAAACATAATGAAATTAATTTTTTGTTATTAAGTTTTATTATAATTTCAGAATTAATAACCATTTGGCTTTGGTTTCCAACATATATTTGATTAAAAAAAACAAAACTTTTCAAGTCAAACAAATCAAACAAACAAAAAAAATCAAACCAGCAATTATTTATGGTGACATCATCACAAAGCCAGGCTGCAATTTTTTCACAATGCTCTCAATTTTAGTAGTGTCTTGCCTCTGTACATCATACTTTTCTTGTTAACAATGGAGTTAACAATGGAGTCATGCCAGTCATCTATCTAACTTCATTCAGAAGAAAATTTTTGAATTGAAATAATGTGACTTCTGGTCTAAACCAGATATTTGTATATAGTTAATCAAAGCTTCCTGCCCATAAGCTTTCTATATCTGGTCTCAACTTTCATCTACTTAACTCTGTTCTCGAGATTAAGGAAAGACAGACAGATGCCATTAGAAGTTATAGGTCTACAATTTTTGAAAATTACAGTCCAAATACTATTTAGCTATTTTAATCAAAACTATATAAACAAATTTATTTATTTATTTAAATTTAAAAAGGGGTATATGGACAGTCTGGACCATCCTTTATAAATATTCAAACTATTTATATTTTGTTAATTTTATAATAATCATACAACAACCATCTCCATTGTCTTAAAAAAAAAATCATTATACAACAAAAATTATAATAAAAAGTAAAATAAAATGTTTGTGTTTATTTTATTATATGTGTTTATACATTGTATATTTAAATTTAATATAAATATATAAGTGCAGTTATATATATATATATATAAGTATAGTTTGTTTCTAGTGTAAAGTTCAACTATAAATATACTAAATCCTAAATAATAGTTACAAAGTTCATTTTAATTTAAAAAATGAAATACTTACACAACCATTATGTACAGGCAATTTAACTTGAAGTCTCAATTTTTGAATGAAAGTTTTATTATCTGAAAAACATATTAAATTTAATTTCAGAATGTTTAGGATAGGCTGTATATCATCATAAAAATGTTTCATTTAAAGTTTTTGACTTAAAATTATCAATATAAATTAATAATTCTATTTTTTTTAAGTTAATATAGTAAAAAACAAATGTTACAATGTATCATTAACTTATATTCTTTTATTATACACATAACTTATAATGATCTTGAAGGTCCCAAGAAATGTTTTTACTTTTCATATTTAATAAAAAAAATATTCTGTATTTTAATCTACTCTCAGATTTCCTTTCCACCATAAAAGTACTCAGTGACAGATTAATGAAACTGATCAACTAGTTAACAGTTGCTATGGAAATATGATGTGAAATCATATGATATGTTTGGGTGGTTGAAGTGCAAACTACTGCCATTTTGTTACACCCAAAAATACATTTACAAGATTTGCTGGTAATTCAGAGTTTACATGATGCACTAGAATATGTCTTTCAAATTGTTTGGACTTGTGAGAAATGCCCAAGGCTCCCCTTCATTTCCATTTCACTATCAAATTGCTGACAGTGGACTTTGGAATTTCTAACTGCTGCAAAATCTCCTTTACAGAATGTCCAAATTTCAAGGCTCCTATAATCATTTTTATTGTAAGTGCATCCAACTCTCTCTTTTGCACCATGTTGGACGAAAATATGCATATGATGCAACCACACGTCTTAATTGGCATGCCCTAATTTGAATACCATCACATTGTTTCAGGCAAGTTCTTTCTAATCAAAGGGGTGTTGGCTATTGGCTATATAGTGTAGAATATCCCAAAAGCATAAAACAAACTATAAATGAAACTCAGTTTACAATAAGTGATCATTATTTGTAGGTAAATATTCATTCGTATGTTGGTTTTATTCTATAGCCTTAACACACGGCTAATAATGTGCAACTATTATTAGTTATCAATCACCATCATCAATATTAACTAGTGCTTTAAACAGTAAGGGCAATATAATTGTTCAACTATGAGTATCTTCTTAAGCCATTCTACATTGAGATGAGTCTAGGTCTCCCATACAAAGTTACTTAGTGGATGAGCAACTCACTTCAGTCATGGTCATCTGGCACAACTGTTCAAAGAGCAATACACATTTTGTTATAATCCACATATTTTTAATGTAAGCATAACACAAATAATGTAAGTATTATTACATTTAAGAACTTCTGTGCAAATAATTTAACCCACAGCATGGTATAGCTAGTAGCAGCAGCAAATTTTGAATAATTTTTGGTGGAATTTTTCAAGAACAGAAAAATATCTAGTGTATTTATTGTTTGCTACAAGAGAAGCTTCTTTTAAACATTATATCATTTATAAAATTAATGTGCAAGCAGAAAGTGATAATGTATTGGAAATGCAAGTCCTCTTCCTGGTTCCTATATCATTTCCAATTTCATTTAATAGATAAATAAGTATCTCAATGGAGTGTGTCATGCACAAAATATCATCATGTGCTTTGAAAACCCCTCACATAATGATACAAAACATCAATGAATGTACTGTATCTTATCATTCAACCCTATCTATAATGTTTTTTCAAGTACAGCCATTTTTTACTCTCTTTTTAAGTACTAAGTTATAATAAAATTAAGATATGGTGTATATTTATGTATATTGGGGTGCTAGGCACGTGTATTATAATTTTTATTCTATTATACATACTGTAAGTTGTCACACTTTGTGTTGGGTTCTTTGTTCATATCAAATCTTTGTATCGCGCGCCACCTTATGGTGGATCTTGTCGGAGCCATGATTGGACCCTAGGGTGACCACGTGTGAGGTAAAGGGAGGAGCGTGCGCGAGGATATAAAAGGGGTGACCCGAAAGGGAAAGTGGTCTTTTTTTTTCTTCTGTGTGACCCCTAGACTGCGTAAAGGAAGACGAGAGATACAAGAGACAAAGGAGGTAAGGGCTCGATCCATATACGTACAAAGGAGTGGGTATTCGAGAGGATTGAACTAAGTGAGGGAAGGAATCGAGTTGCATCAGACTCTGTATGCGTCGATGAATTATCTGACTAAGGTTGGGTAAAAGAACATTGTTAACCAGTGTCCAGCGACCCATTAGTTCGGCCCTAAATGATTTTTTGTTTCCACGTGGTCGCAACTCCGATCAGACGTCCACTCACCAAGAAGTCTGCCCTATATTGATTATTGCGGTGGCAGATCTGCTATGTTGGTCATCTGTAGCATACATTGTGAACGATTTGATACCGATACTGGTACCCGCGAACTTTGAAACTGATTGTGATAATAAGGAAGCGATACCCTTGTTAAAGATTGTTACAAGCATATAGCTAATGTTCTCTAGGACTTATTGTACCAACGCGAAAGGGATATTGATATAAACTTGTTTTCTCTGAAATTTGTTGTAAGGTTCTCATTTACTCTTACCCACTTCATGATCTGGATCACCTTGGTGCTCTCATAGATCTACAATATGTTATGGACCAAGTGATTAATCAGGCATTATACATGTTTGCACAGATAGAAAAACAGACAAGCAAACATGAAGACCCTTGCATTTTTGTTCATGACCAATAAATCATTTTACACCAGAAAAGTCTTGCTCATTTGAGGCTAACATAAACAATTACTCTTCTACAGCCACTCTTCTGAGTTTATGAAGCACGGTACAGTACATATGTGCTCCAGTTATCAGAGAGTCACAACTGATCTTAAGTTGCATTTTACATCAAAGTCACAACTCTGATTCAAAAATTGAGAAACACTGTGCTACCATAAATGTTTATTATTTTAAATAATTGCTTGCAATATAGTAGTTTAAATTTCTAGCATTTTTTACTTCAATTACATATCAGATAGATTATTAATTATGATTATTAGTATTCATTAGTAGTAAACATTTAAGTTGTGCATTTTTTTTAACTGTTTTAACATGGCATTTTTAATATTGGAGTCAATAAACCAGAATTCCATTAACTGTATGTTACTTAATGTTATCAGTCAGTTATTGTCAGTATAGCACATTCCAAAGAAATTTATATATACAGTATAATCTGCTTAGTGTAGTTATTAACTGAGAACAGCCAGATTGTAGAGATAGTAAATTTGTACTAGTCTGTTACACTAGTGGATATAGGTTAAAATTCAGTTCTGTTCATAAAGTTGAATGAGTGGATTGACCAAGATATATCAGACCCCATCCCTCACCACTCAGCCATCCCACTAAGAGCCTGACTAAATCTATGCTAGGTAAAGAAAATGACTATTCAAAGAGTAGAATGTGAGCCCGAGGGGTTTGAGTTCGAAATTTTTTTGGGTTAACATATTTTTTTCATTAGAGGATGGAAAAAAATATAACGGAAATAGATCGGATGTGGAATCTTACACATCGTCCGTTTGTCAATTAGTCAACGTGCACGTGCTAATTAGTCAGCATAACGAGTGAACGACCTGTTGGCTCAGTGCCAACGACGATCGTATAAAAACGATCGTCACGGGAAGTTCTGGGCGATCGTCCCCTCAGTGCGACCGTCCCTCCGCGCGATCCTCAGGAAGGTCTGAATACAGTGTCTCCCGTCCCGATCCTGTCCGAGGAGAAGCCGGTAGAAGACATAAGCCTGTGACAGACAGCCAGCTTCCATAGTTCAGAAGGATCGTCGCATACTGTCCTCCGACATAAGGTATAACTGACCGCCAATATAACTCTCTTTGTAAACTCTCACGCGGCATAGGGAATAGTTACAGCTCCCTTATAGATAAATTTATGTTATCCGCATCTAAGCTATAATCATTAACTTGTATACTTCTGTAAAGTACTTTAGGTATAGAATAAACATTTATTTTGTTATTTGTTAAACCTGTCTCCTGTTTATCCGAGGAAACCTGTCGACTTACTGACGCACTCCCCACTCGATTTGCCCTCCTAGCCATCCTACGACTCCGAGATCGGGCTTTACCAGCCTGTGCAGAGTAAGTGGTCAGTACGAGATAGACCGCTGACCCACTGCGTATCTCACAAGAAAAATAAAATTAAAATGTTTTTAACTATAAACAAACTAATATTTTTTTATTATGACAGTATATCATTGAAAAAAAATATTTTATCAAATTATATTTATGAATAAACATGTTTCTTATAAATTAGCATCATATTTTGGATCTATCTAATTTACATTTACACCTACGACCCACCCAGTTGTTTCATCTTGAAGCAAACTGATAGTCAAGTTACTTTATTATAATTTCCATTAACAGAAAAACAACTGCCATAATAATTTTAATAAATAATAATTGAATATAATTTTATGACATTAGAATTTGAAGTTAATAATTTAGGGTACTGATAACAATATCCTATCATAAATTATAAAATCAATATTATAAAATTAAATAATTCATGAACATCCCTATCTAGTTTTCAAATTTCAAAACAAGAGTTGTTAAAATATTCAAAGAAATTGTAAAAAATTCAAAAATTTAAATTTATTAATTATAAAATTTTGAATATTTTAAATTAGAATTTTAACAAAGTTTTGAATATATTAATGCAATTTAACACAAAATAATAAATAATTTCTATTTAAATTTTCAATGATGTTTATATAACATGATTTGTTTTGTTCTTATTTTTTTGTATATTATTTTCAGTTTATACACAGTTTCTAACTAATTAAATTACATGTAAATATAAACTATAAATTACGTAATCGAGATAAAAAAGAAAAGGCAAAATTCCAAATACTTGTATACAGTATTAACTGCCAAAAACTTCCTTATTGGAGTTAATTATTTGAGTATTTCAAAGTAATTCAATTTAAAATATTATATAACTAATACATGTATAATGAATTTGTGTAGCTAAGCATAATTTTAAAAATATCATAGATTATTTTTATATTTTTAAGATTTTAAATAAAATAGCTATCACAAAGATATGTTACATTTGATTTTGGATAGTTTCCAAATAAAACTATATATTACTTTGAAAAATATAT